CTTGAAGGCAGCACTAATGCAGAAGAGGCCATCTATGATCAACAGAGGCCGAATTGTATTCCATGAGGACAACGCCAAACCACACACGTCGTTGGTGAGGCGCCAAAAGCTCGAGGAGCTCGGATGGGAGGTCCTAATGCACCCACCTTATAGTCCGGACCTGACACCAAGTGATGACTTGCTTTTCCTGTCCATGGCGAACGCGCTTAATGGTGAGAAGTTGGCCTCAAGAGAGGCCTGTGAAAATTGGATCTCCGAGTTCTTGACAATAGGGACGCAGTCTTCTACGAGAGCGGTATAATGTTGACAACAAGTTTACGAACAAAACGGCGCATTTTTGACTTAAATCGGACAAATGTACACAAAATTATCAGAGTTTGAAAAACCAATAAAAAAAAAACGAACGAACTTTTCACTTGACCTAATATGTAGGTATGTATGCCAGTTTGGATTGATTGGCTATAAATTCGTGCAGTAACCTATAAATGACCGATTGTGCACTAATTATGATGTGCCAAAAGCTTTTCTTCGCCTTTCTACCGCTTCTATAAGTTAACGCACCTTTTCATATATCTCATTTTTCAAAATAGACAGAACAACATAGATTGATTGGCATTCGCGAATTGCATTAAATATGCGAGCGGATTATGGAAATATTTAGCAATTATACGTTAAAACAAACAAAAAAAATGTTTGCCAGTCGGCATTAGTATTTCAACACATTATACATACATATTTTAAATCTTTAACAGTATTGAGTCATTAACAGATTTCACAAATGCTTTCGTTTTCTAGCGCCACCTGCCATCGTTGTGATAACTCATAACCGGCAATGTTCTATAATTAGCCAACATTCAGTGAAATATGAAGCCATTAGATGTATCACACACTTGCCGAGGCGCAAGGCCATAATAGGCGAATAAACAAAAAATTCATACTTTTGTACGAACGTACATATGTATGTATATATGTATATGCATACAAATATTTGGATCTGAGCACAAGTTCCTTTCCTAGGGCGGTCATTTATGGGCCAAAGCTAATTTTTTTTTTTAGTTTCACAAACAAAAACAATTAGGTGACTATAAGATACAGATCTCAGTTGCGCTGAGATTTCGCTTTGTAAAATAGGTGAGACTCGAAAGGGAGCTAAACAAATGATATATGTACATATGTACATGCGACATCTCCAAATACCAATTATAAGGCCCACACATTAGTTCTCAGTGCCGCCTAAGTGAATCGCGTGAAAGTTTGGACAAGTCCAAATATACCAGGACAGTTCGCATTATATACAATACACATATATGTGGTTATGGTGGTAGTGGTACTATGTAAATATGTTCAGGTATGTCATATTGATAGGGTGGTGAGCTCAAATATTGGGTGAAGCATGGGGGCAGCACAAAGATCATGTATTCATTACTAGAGAAGGCAATAATATCAGCCGATATTCATACTCCATATCCATGGCCGGTCTTCGTGGTTTCCGACCACTTTACCCTCTTTCTAAATGCAAGACTACTTAGACTTATGTACGTAATATATAATATTATAGCGGTCAAAGAGAGTTTCAGGAGCTTAGTCGTCAAAATGTCTTCTTCGAGGTCGAAAACTTTGGAGAAATTAACACCGCCTCAGCAGTGCTTCCCTGTTGTTCTGGCATTTTGTGAAGACAGCGATTTGCTTCCTCTTTTGCACTAACCACCACCTCGCACATATCTCGCGCACTTGTTCGGTTCCGACAAGACGGGATCATCAACATTTATTTTTGTGCCGCAAAAACAACAACATCAACCTTTATTTCCGGTAAAACGGAAGGAACACCCTTATGCACGAGTATATGTAAAAGCGAAGACTTTGATTTTGGTTTGGTCTACCTAAACAAGCAGTATAAGAAATATGTAAAATATGTATGTAAGTATGTATGCATGTATAATATGAAAACGCGCTTTTTTTTTTCATTAAAGTAAATAGCTAATTAGTTGTTTAGACCACGCAACCAATAAGATATATGTACATACATACTTTCGTGAACGTGAAAGTCCGATAATGTACAATAAGTACCAGAAGGAGAAGAGATAGACCCACTAAAAATTATACTGATCGGGCCAGAATGACGAGTTGTGTTGATTTAGTCGTTTATCCGTCTGTCCGTCCGCAAACTAGTCGCTCAGTTTTTGAGATATTTCCATCAACCCTTGTACATACATAGATGCACTGCTACATTTAAAAGATCATTTGTCGCAACGGGGCAGATGGGACTACCATATACCGTAGATACGGCGGACTTTTCCGATTTGTGATCTTAAATTTGTCAAAAAACGCATCTAAGAGCGTGAAGTTAGAGGACTATATTATAAAGTCCCCGTAAACCCGGTTTTGGTAAAAACTCCGCCCAAATAGATGTAAGAATATGAAATTTGGTATTATAAATATATTCGTATTTGCAAATAAACATTGTCACAGAATATCATCGATACATCGATCGATACAACCAATTTGTTCAGGTATGTGGTGCTGGGCCATACAGGACATGAATTTTGGTGTTCTAAACACATTCAATGAATTGCGCATTGGTACTGAAAATTATCGAAATCACACCACGCTATCGCACGAAGCTCACACAACCGATTGTTCAGAGGTTGAGGTTTTTTGAAATTTGGTGATAGCGATAAAAATTGAAATCGGATGATTATGTCATATACCCCCTTCCAAACGATTTCTTAGATATGAGAATTAATATTTAATCTTAAGGCCAGGTTCCTCAAAAAAACGTGTTTTTTTAAACAATTTTTTTTTTAATGGTGGCTCTTAAAATTGCTGCTGAAACACGTCCCTTTAGTTGGTGAGTGACACGATAACTGTAAAACGAATCTTCTAAAAGCAAAAATTAAAACAATCTCTTATTCTGTATCACTTTGTCTATGGCCGGAACTACAATGAAATATTTTTACGAAAAAATGTGAGGTGAGTTTGTTATTTTTTTTATCCTTTTTTCAATTTTAATTTTTTTTTTTAATTTTTTTTTAAATAACAATAAATATTTTTGGTTTTAGTACCGATCATAGAGAGACATTTTAGGAGTAAAATGGCGTTTAGTTCTTGTTGATAAGTTCAATGCGTTCTAAATAAGAGTCACCCTGTTGAAAAAACGTGGTTTCGAAAATAAAGGTGTTTAAAGTAATCGAGCGGCCGCATGTACCGCTTGGCACGCTCCGCTCTCCCCTCTTCTTGGTCAGTTTATAGTAAGAAATGTTCCAGTTTTGTAAATTTTTTTTAGAGGAACCTGGCCTTAAAAGGAAATATAAAAAATTCGGCATGAACGATACCAGCTCTACTTACTTATTTCCTTTTTTTCGTGATTAATCGGCGGTTTGGACGAATTGCTACAAGCAATCTCTGTAAGAGTTTATTTGATTTTAAATGTTTTGAATGTTTTTCGTTTATCTGTATGGAACTTTAGACAATTATCGCAAAACAAGTTCAATAAATTGTTAAGGAATCTGCCCTGGTAATGAAATACTTATAACTTAAAAGTATAAAAAAAAATAGTTTATTTATAAAATCAATACAAATAAGATATTCCTTAATTTCTTAAACGGTATATACATAGGTTTGTAAAAATATATGTATGTATGTGTATATTTTTTTTTTAAGTTTATTCAACTAACAATTCTCCTTTCTTTTGTAACAAAATACTTTGCAGATTTATGTACATATGTAAATACATATTTAGATACATATTTATGTGTGTATAAATTTGCGTAGCATTTCTTTCGATATACATTCCTTCAATGTGTATATGTATAAACATACGAAAATTTATTTTCATTATAGAAATAAATACATGTGAACATATAAATATATATATTTATATCAATGACTACAATGTGAGCATAATAAAAATTCATACAAAATGTATTGAATTCTATTGGAGCGGTGGCCTTATTCGCGAGAAATTTACATTTAAATCTGCTTATTTTTTCTTTTTTTTTTTCAAATTATTTGCATTTGTTTTCATGTGGAATTCATGAGAGTTTCTTTCTATATTTACAGTTAAAGTTATTTATCTAAGTTATTTATTTGTTGCAAGAAAAGAACCAAATAGAAGAACAACTGGACTTAACGTTATATGAAATTTGTAAGCGCCAAAAGATGTCGGTTTGTGCAAGTTTTTATTTTTTTGGTTTTTTTTTTGTTTTTTTTGCCTAAAGCATTTTTTTTAGAAATGAATTTTGTCTAAATTTTTCTAATAGTGTAAGCATACCTATGATGCATTATGGATAATTTTGAAAAATTAAATAAAAATTTAAAATAAGCTAAATAAAATAATAAAGTCCAAAATAATCATTAAAGGTATTCGTTTAGTCTAAAAAATATTGTATTATATACTACAGGAAATATATATTATACTTAACTAGCAAGGAAATAAATATAATCAGAAGAATAATGTATATCAACGTAAAAATATATATAATATATGTAGGTATATAGCCCATAATCAACCTTTTCGTACTAAGCATTTTTAATCCTACTGTAAATGAATCAAAGAAGAGAAAAGAACAATACATTTTCGTGTAGCAACGTTGGAATACCATGCATTTTTAACTGCGTTGAATGTCAGCTGGATGACACTAAGAATGCTCAAATTGTTTCGAAAGGCATGCGGTAGCCACTTTAATGCTTATATGATTTTATACAATGCCATGCTTTTCTAGCACATTGGGTTATATTTAGAAATATTTTAGCAGAAACATATGTATATACATAGTATGTGACCCATATTGTATACATACATACATATATACATCAGTATGGAAATTTGGGATGCATCGTTGTTAATTAACATTATATATGTATATTTAATGATGATTTGCATGGTAAGATCATTTTATATTTTCATATACTATATATGTATGAATCTACGCATACCTTTATATATACATACACTAAACTTCTTGTAAAACGTCTCCTTACTTTCAATTACACTAACTCACCTCTTCCAATACAGCAATCGTCTGACGACAATCTGGCATTCTTGATGCAAATGTAGATGTGGTTGGAGAATTATAGTCATCACGAGTTTCCTCCACAAACTCTGCAATACCAATTAATGCAGCGGGTGGCATTTTTTAAACACTTCAGTTAAAGATTTATTCAATTAAGATTTGTACGTGATAGCACTGGAGGGATACCCGCTTTGACAATTTGTTGAGTACACTGCACACCAACAAATATGTCTTATCCAACGTAGTAAAATTTGGAATGCTAAAATTTGATATATAAATATATGGGCATATTTAGATTTGTTCTTTTATTCGTAGCATGAAATACTTTGTATCTTTAGAATTAAAAATTAAAACAGTCATAATTGACTACGACCGAAATGATTTACGTTTTAAAAGTAGAGCATACATATGCATATCATATATTATATCCGAAAAAAAAAATAAATTATATTTTTACGGTGCTGCAAGTCACTACCGAAGTCGTTTCAATGATTTTTGGTTTTTACGCCTTTTTTTATACATGTGTAGATATCGTTTTACAGTCACAACTTCGTTTATAGAGCTTTATAACTAAATTTATTTTGGTACCTAAGCACCAATTTTTTAGTCACATTATTATTTTGATTAACGTAGAAAAAAATATATGTGATACATCTAGAAAATTAGATTCCTATATACTCTTATTGCTCACAACAATTTGACACTTTTATTTCGTATTAGACTAACTTCAATCATCCTTGCAGCCCCAAAATGTTTCGCATGCAATAAGGAATAGAGAAAATCGAAGAGCATCGGAGTATGTAGTTAACACCCATTTTTACTCGTTCTCCTCTTTTGCACAAATATTTATACATATGTATTTAAAATTAAATAAGATGTGGAATTCAAGTTTTATAAAAAGGATAATATTCTTAATTTTTGACGAAAGCACTTAATAATATATACACTTTTAATGCATATGCATATACACTTTGTTTAACTCACTAAATCCAGCGTCATAGCAAGTGCCACTTCAACCTTCAAAATGTAAATTTTTTCTATTTTTTGTTTTCATTTCCACAACTAAATTTTTTACTTTGTTTTGCTGGTTTTGCTTGTTTCATCTGATTTGCAAACGTCGACAAACAAAATCGTATTTAAGGTTTTTTTTTTTAGTTTCCTTTATGATGATTCTATTTTAACTTTGAAATAATCCGCCCCGACAATGCTTCTAACGCTATTAGATTTACCCGAGCCTGCAGTGCAGGATATTCTTTATTGCCTGCCACACATTATCTTCACAGTTATGCAATTCATTCAGCTGAAAGTTTTAAATACACAAAGTTTATATTCAATAAACTATATACGCATTTTAATCACGAATATTTGTAATTTTTTCAACCACTTCACTAACGAATGCGATAGAAATGATGAAATAGATTAGTGATGTGGGTTATCGAATGAAAATTTGCAAAATATTCGATGGTCAGAATTATCTTCTTTCGATTGTTTGAGAAATGTTTTCATGAATGCATTTTTTGGTACTAATTTAGAAAAAAATGTACTGAGTGCTGTTCGAATGTAAAATTTACCTTTTTAAGCTTGATGATTTCATTTAAGGCAGTGTGGCAATTGGGTGAAAATTGTAAATTTTGAGAGCCAAAATTTAATTTCTGATATTTTTCGTGGGGAGTATTTTGATTGTTTGAATATATGCTATGAAGAAGCATAACATCAAAGAACGTATATTAACGTATATTCTTTGATAATATCATATCAATAACAACAACAAATATAATCTGGCGTTTAGCCCGCTGCCTAAACCTCTGAATTTATAAAAAATCATTAAATGAATTTTTTGTTTCTGTTTCATTTGTGAGAACATTAGTAATTCAACTTATTTTATTTGTATTTCACTGATTTCTTACCAATGCGCAAAAAATATATACGATTTCCTCACGAGCTTTTATTTTGTTGGCGTAAAAATTTTTTACGGTCTTCACTTTTTTTGATTTTTTTTATCAGCTAATTTCACGTAAACATTAGTAAAGACCACGATTTGGCCGTAATTCACATGGTAATTGGAGTACGAATTACAATTGAGCGAGCGAACAACCTCTTTGGAATGACTGAATAAAACATGATAGGGAACTCATCTGAAGTATTTGTGTATATATGCCACAATAAAAAATAAATTTAAATACACTGTCAAGGGATTTATAATTAGTAATTCCTTAAAATAATGTTCAAATTCTAAAAAATATGGATTGAAATTACAACTATTCATTGCTTCATAAACTCTTATTGTAACATTAATAAGCCAGCAGCAATCCTTCTGCAACTTTATTAATCAGAATAAAACCCGATTACCGTCAAAGTGTAACTCAAAGTGTCGACTTTCCGTTCTTTAGATAGCAAAATAATCGAGCAAATACAACAGTGTAAAAAACACATTATTTAATTTCACTCTGTTCAAAAGCTAATATATTTGGTATTAATTTATTGTTATATAGGCAATGGCTGGAAAAAGGCAAGCCACATCAAGCCTCAATCATGAAAATTGGGATAAAGAAGAAGAACCTGAAGAACGTGGAACTTTTCGTAAAGCATCTGAGGATGAGTTAAAAAATCGCGTTATTAAGAAGGCGCGTAGAAAAGTTGCTACCGGCAATGGTGCTACGGACACTACTGATGATGGTGCGCCAAAAAGTGTTTTCAGTGGTTTTGCAGGTAATAAATAGTTGGTTTTCTAATTACACAATGAAAAATGTCAAAACTTTTTAGGGTTTGGCAAGTCGACTAGCTCATCACCAGCGGCATCTCCATTCTCATTTCTATCAAAAATTTCGGCAACTCCCGGTGATGGCTCTAACAAATCAGCTTCTCCTGCATCATTTTCTTTTGGTGCAAGCACTGAACAAACTTTAACAGTAGAAAAGGAAGATAAAACTGCAGGTGAAAATGGTGGTTTGGCTAAAGAAAGTTCTAAGGATGACTTAGGAAAATCCGTTGATTATCAAAGTAAAATAAAGAGCTTAAATACGGCAGTAAGCGACTGGATAAAGAATCATGTTGACAAAAATCCGCTATGCATTCTTACTCCTATTTTCAAGGACTACGAGAAATATATAAGTGAGATAGACGAAGAAGAAAAAAAAGCGAACCAATCAAAAACCAATAACAACTTGACAAATGACAAAAAAGCAACAGAATCATCTTCAACTTTAGGAAATTTTAAATTTTCTGCATCCCCCAAACCCATCTCGACCATTGCCTCAACAAGCTCCCCAAAAGCAATGTTCTCTTTCGGTACATCTGCAGCCTCAACAACCAATACAAGTACGACAAGTATTTTCACTAATACATCCAAGCCAAACATCGAACCAACCAAAACTTCCTCATTTAGTTTTGGTATAAAGGCCACAGAAAGTAAAAATAATGAGGCTGAAGAAAAAACTTCTCCTGCTGCTAAGGGTTTTAGCTTCGGTTTTAAGGCAGATAATACTTTTTCACCACCTACGACAACTTCTTTTACGTTTGGCAAATCGGCAGGAGCCAACGGCGATTCAGCCGAAAAAAAGTCGGCCTCTACCAGTTTTACACCTGGATCAACCATATTCAGCTTCGGTAATATAAAGCCACCAACTGAGCAAACACCTTCTACATCCAAAGATACTAACGGTGATAACGACGAAGAAGATCAACCCCCAATTGTGGAATTTAAGCAGGTTTGTATTACAATAAGCTTTAAATAAAAATATAAAGTAAAATTCTTCCCGTTTTAGGTCGTAGAAGAGGATGCCATATATTCTAAAAAATGCAAAGTTTTCGTTAAAAAAGACGGTGCCTTTACTGACCGAGGCGTGGGCACACTGTACTTAAAGCCCGTAAAAGACTCTGAAAAGACTCAATTACTAGTACGTGCTGACACTAACCTGGGTAATATTCTAGTGAATCTAATATTAAGTGCAGGTATTCCAACTCAACGTATGGGGAAAAACAACGTGATGATGGTATGCCTTCCTACACCAGATGTAGAAAAGGCAACATCGATGCTACTACGTGTAAAAACCGCAGAAGAAGCTGATGAATTATTGGCAGAACTAGAAAAACACAAGAAGTGAAATGTATAATGCTTCTTTACTTTTAAAATGTTATAAAGAGTGGTTGTACTTTTCGAAATTTTACCATTAAAAAATACTAGCGCACAATGAAGGCAGTTGAAATAAGAGCGTTTAATTAGCAGAGAACCATGTAAATAAATGAAGAATTATTGTAAAAGATCTTTATAGGTTTTATATGATTATTAACAAATAAATATGCATTCCTGAAGAATTTCTAAAAAAAAAACGCAATCTGAAATTTTAAATCAATATGGCATCTCCATCAGCTGATATTTCTTCCGGAATTTTATCCACAGCTGATTTTTGATTGTTTTCCAGATTTCATTAGGAATGTTTCATCGTGTGTTTATCTCAGTTTTTAAACTATAGCAGCTAAATTATAAATTGTATAAAGAAAAAAATGGAGAAGCGTGAGGAAGCATTAAGAGAGGTAAAACAAAAAAGAAGTATAGAATGATAAATATGTTCATTTGCGGTTTTAGGCACTGGTAAACAACGCCGAAGAAACATCACGATGGGAAAGTTACAAGGAGGATAATAGTACGGCAGTTGTAAATCTTAATGAATTTAGTAAGTTCCTCACCGTGGATGTGATGGTGCCCATTGGGCGAAAAGCTTATATGCCAGGTCATCTTATCCATACGAATGAAGTACTTGTAGGGCATTATCAAAATTATTTCTCTAAATGCTCCGCACATAAGGCAAAGGAGATATGTGAATACCGAATTAAAATGGCAGAGGATCACTTAGAGAAATTGAAAACTGAGCGTGACTTATGGCAGTAAGTACATTCCTAATATTCTTTTATTTGTGTTATTTACAATTCTTTTCTCAATATTTTATTTAAGAAATAAATTAGATAAGCCATACAATAATGGAGCCTTTCCAAGCATGGATAACCATGAAATAATAGAACACTATGATGAGGATGAAGAAAAAATATGGCGTGAGAAACATAAAGTTCGTGTGAAGCAAGCCAAGGCACGGGAGAAGGTAGAAAGAGAACAAAGCAGTGAAAAAGGCTCAGATTCGAATGAAACAAAGGATTTAAGAGACAATGATATATTCAGAATGCTTGAGGAGGCTGAGTTGATGGAAGAATTACAAAATGAATTAGATATTTTAGACATAGATGAAGTCAGTAATGAAACAATTAGGAAGTTAATGGCAGGTGATATGAAACTACCAACAGAAAAAACACGTATATCTCATAGTGATCAAATGGATAAAGTACAAAATAAAAATGAAATAAATACAAGCATTGAAAACGCAAACAAAAACAAAGAGCAAAAACTGCAAGGGATTGTAAAAAAAAGAGAGATAGATACGAATTCACTCAGCACGAATAACAACAATCGCTCGAATCCAGAGTTGGTAACAGCAAGCAACATTTCCAACGAGATATCCGATTCTGATATGGACGACCTCCCTCGAGAAGTGCAAATTATAAAAGAACAGGCTAAATTTTTACCCCTATTGGAACAAATTGGTTTCTATGAGTTTCAAATAAAAATTATGCGCCAAAAGCTTTTGACATTGCCTCTAAAAACGCAGGATGATATAGACCAGAAGGTGCATATCTTAAATGTCTTAGAAACTTTGGAAGAATTACTTGAAATAACCGAAGACAGTGCTCAAGCTGAAGAGGAACAGATAATAAATGACATGGATGTTACAACTGAAGAAATCTCAGCTTCAGAGAAAAAAAATATAGCAAACGATGGAGAGAAACCTTTGAAGCGAAGAATTTCTTTCGCTTCACAAAATGAGACTTTGGAGTTCCGAAAAAATGAAACTATTTCCGAAATGCTACCTAAAGTGCAGCCACAAAATAAAGATATAATAAAACTAGCTGAAGACGATTTTTGTCCTAACAGTAAAATATCTACATATAAAGTTGATCGTCAAAAAAACATTATAGATAGAGTTGAAAAGAATTTGAGATTCATTAAAGAAAACCAAAGCACTAAAGATTTCCAATTGGTTGATACAATTTTAGAATCCTCTACAGGTGGTTGTTATACATTGCGAATAAACTATCAGCATTCAGCGGCATCAGAAAATGAAGTATCCCGGAGAAATGAAAATTATGAAGATAGTTATCCCGGCTCACCTGCCGACTTATATGAAGCATATCTAAAAAATACAGAAAAGCAAGCTGCAAAATCACAAATAATTTACCCAAACGCCTATGCCGGAGAAGACAAAGTTAAAGTTCCGCACTTAAGGGAAAATGATCGCGTAAATTTTTACGAGGATCAACGTTTAGAGGTTGTATTTAACTTTAAGCGAAAAACAATAAATTACAAATAAATATAAATCCATTTTAATTTTCAGTTTTCCAAACCAACTGTAACAGAAGCCAAATCTATTCTACGAAATAAAAGTGCAGTTGAAAGGGAACAACATAAATTGGGGCATAAAAACCGTGTCACAAACAACAAGCAGGGACAAAAGAAGAAAGTTAATACAATTGTCGATGAAGAGCAGTATATGAGCGCCTATTACAAGGTCTGTAAAACTTCATCTTAATCAGCACCTTTTTCATCATTTTTGGCTCAAAAATTTTATTTTTAGGTAATGAATGAGGTAATCGAAAAACCTATTACAGAGCCGGAACCACTTCCTGAATGCAAGTACATAGATGCACACACGCCTAAAAAACGCATCAGCCATTTCAAGCAAAATCGCAAAGTAGCCGAAAAAATTTAGTACCTACTACTTAAATAAATAACTATAAGTTGTAAAATCTCAAATTGAACGTTTAACAGATTGGACACTACCAATAAAAATGCATTGCGGTTTCTCGCCCTAATGTTTATTCATTTAAAATTGCTTTCAGTTAAGTTTACAACAACAGTTTACGCCTGCAATTATATACTTATAGTTACAAATGTGCACACATACATTTATTTATAATTTAAAAGCTTTATAAGCATACTCGCAACTACTACGCTTGTGAAAAGTTGGATTAAATTAAAATTGACTCAAAATTCAAATTTCAAATAAATTACTCTTAAACTTAACATTACAAACTAATCATCGAGTCCAAGAAATTCACGTTCCAGTGCCGCGCCCATCATATTCCATTCACCGTCATCCCCACTGTCCTCATTGCCATGACTACCATCGTCAGAGTCGGAGCCCATTTCTATGTCGGATGGCAATTTCTCACCTACATATTAATATAAAAAATATGTATTTTCTACTTTCAGTTTATTCACTATCCTCCTTACCACGTCGAAATTTTGTGCTTGGTGATTCATCATCGTCGTCATTGTCTTCTCCATCAGTACTTTTATCAGCGTCATCATGCTTCGATGAACCTATTATTATATCGGACGCACGCGTAAAGAATTCTCTCGTGCGATCTTGTTCTTTTTCCTCACGTCTTCGCTTACGCAAAGTTTTGTCCACAGGTGGATTTTCTATAAAACAATAATAAGACAAATTGAAGCATTTTTAAAATTTAATACAATGATTTACCTATGTTTATATGCTCGTCTTCACTGGATGAATCCGACTCAAAGAATTGATCGAATTCCTTATTCATAGCCGCCAAGTCAGCATTTGAAAATGATAAAAGAGGATTGATTGTGTCAATGAATTTTTCAGGCGCTTTTGCCTGCTGCTGTTGTGCGCTACTCGACGGTGATATTTCCGATTTATCGCTATAGTTAACAACATGTTCTGGGCTATGGCAATGAGCAGGAGGTTTTCGTTGCCTATTTTTCGTTTTACGATCCAAAGGAAATAGTCTCTCATCAACATGCTCCCAACGTTCAGCACAAGTCCATAACCAGTTTGCATTAACCACTTTAATATTTGGATTCTTTTTGGCAGCGTTCACCTTAAATGTACCAGAATTCACAGCAACAAGATGTGTCGTTTCTGGCAAGAGAAAAGATGTGTAATTTATAAAATTTATTTAACAATTTTATTCTGTTTTACCTGGTCCAATACTTTGTGACACATTTGCACCCAAACTTTTTGCTATGAAGTATGCGCGGGATTGTTCTAACTGCATATTGGTGGGTACTAAACCTGAAAACACTAAAGTCTTTCCCCGTAATACTTCTGAACGTATTTTCGGTACAATAATCTTTAAATCCGGTATTTCTTGTGTTTCATCATAAATGGCATAAAATCTTGAATGTATATTTTTTAGTATTTCCTCCAAATACATAAGATAATCATCGGGATCTTCGATTTCAATTTGCTGTTGCGGATCAGCAGGTAATTTTATTTTAGGAGTTAACTCTGATTCATCATCCACCACTGGATCATCTTTGCTATCAACATTTTCAAATTTTTCGTCCGTTAAATTTTTACAATCATCGTTTGAGTTCATTATCTCATTAGAATTAGTCTTTTCGTCTACTTCTAACTCCTCACTGGTTTTGTTCACTGACGGTTCAACTTCTGTTGTTTTAATGGATTCAGTATTAGCTTGTGAATCATTTTTAACAACATCTACAACTGTTTCATCTCTTTTACTCTCGGTGTCTGTTTCCGAACGTTCCGATATACCGTCCGAGGACTCAGAGTCAGGTACTTTTTCTTTCATTTCTGACTCTGCTGCACCAATTTTTTCTTGGTCTGTTGTAAGATTTTTTAAGTCTAAAAAAAGAAAAGGAAAACAAATGTAATAATTAAAGTTCAAATGTAAAAGCGGCTTCCGATTTTCACTCATACCCTTAAAATCAAGACCTTCGCCGTCCAGTTCATGCTTTGATAAGCCGGGAGGAGCATTTATATCGCCTGTATGTTGAAAAAAATGATAGGGTTTCACTTGAATCAAATTAGATGCCATATTCCATACATCCTCACGATCGTCGATTATACAAACCATAGAATCACCATTGGGGAAGAGAGCTCTAGAATTACGAACAATGTATACTTTTGCGTTGATATACTAATTGCACTGAACTTACTTTAAATTGTCAGTTTTACTTGTTGCATTAAAGCATTCATCTCGCGAAAGTATGCGATGCGAAAAGTATTTACCTTCCGGATCAAGTAATTGTGCAATCATATGAGCATAATTGCGCGCACCAAAAGTACAAATATGTAGTTCGTAGAATTGTGACATGCGCTCGAGGAAAAGAGGTGTACCAGGACGGAGGCGAGTGTGGTACCAGGGGGAGTGTGGTCCGTAAAGTTGGAAATGATAAATACATTTAATATTGATCGGTACATTATCGTTAGTTGTGTGTATAACAGTTTGATCTAGATCTACTAGAAGTACAAGCTTCCGGTCTTGAAGTAAACGTCGGGTATCATCATGACCCAATTTTTGTGCAAGTTTTTGTGTAACTTTTAGATCCGGAATAGAGTGTACCATTGGTACAGACGCTTCCGAAGTATTACCCTAAATTAAAGAAAAAATATGCTTATTATAAGTTGACAGAATTTATTTTAATATGCATAAATATATATATGTATGGGCTGTATATACCTATAGATAGGGTAGATATATTATTATTTGAACTATAGAATCGATATATTTCTTTTTTTCATATCAACAAGATATGTATGTGAATTTCTGATTATTATAACAAAACATCATACATATATTTATAACATACCATTTGAGGATATGCACCTACTTAGTATACTTATTGTATATATACAAATTTGCACAAATTTTCAAATTATATAACATTTTTTCAACCCTTAAGCAAACTTTCTTTGCAAAGTACTATGGCAATCCTATGCACTTATCACTCAATGCGGCACCGCGCAAAATTCACGCGAATTAACATTGTTTTGTTTATCAGTCGATAAATTATTTGTTTCCACTTTCTTCGTTACATTAGACAAATTCGTCTTAAACATAAAACATTTTACATTTTTCCTTCAATTGTACCTCTACCTAAAACAATCATACGACGGATACTCACATTTTCATTTTGGCGCAAATCCGCACCACAATCAGCACACATGTCTTTTATCACTGTCGTATGTGCACACTCAGCCAACTCCAGAATCGTGGCACTGTAATAAGAAATCATGGATGTTTAATGGGGTTTATCTGATGTATACAAAAAATCACACAACGTTGTTTTTAAATTATTTGTTTATAAAAAATTATTTGCTATTAATTGCATTGATATCAAATTCTTTTATGTTTATCAATATATCATTAGTATTATGTGTATATGTACATTTAGATCGTACTAATACATGTACATATTTACACTTCAGTTCTACAGAATAAACATTGCTGTGTTCACACCTACCCCTGTGGTACCAATTGGCCCTCCTTGAATAAACGCTTTTTTACCACGCCTACACGATTTGCTTTTAATTTGTGTAATGTTTTATCGGCTGAAGCTACTGAAGAGGCAACCGTTTTTGTGCATAGGGCTTCCGAATCATTATCGCCGCTTGTGATTTCGTAAAGCAAAATTACTTGGGACGATGTTATAGGGAAACCTTCACGAACGCGCCATTTATTGATTCGAATTGGGTGCTCCGTTGGTGCAGTTATTGTAATGCTGCCGGCACTAATACTTTCGCCACTCGATTCATTGTTACCATCCGCCATTGCACTCATAACTTCACTCACTGTAAATATTTTCACTTCAATTATTTCACAGCGCTCCAACAATTTACCTTTTTGCACAATTTTCTGTTTCTTGATGTTTTTTTCACTTCTTTCGCTTTTCGCGTCTGCCACTATCCCTTCCACCTTTATAACTTTTATTAGCGTCTTGTTAGTTTTCTCCAATTCGTTGTTTTGGTTCCTCAGATTTGTTCACGGTTGCCATTCTTTGTATTTGACTAAAACAAGTGGTTCATTTTATTCGAATTAAATTTTTTGAGAATCAAATTTGGGTCATTATTGTTTAAATCAAGTCGAACAAAGTAAGATTAGATAAATAAATACAAACAAATTATCTTATTATTCTAGCTTTAATTAAACACTTTTGGTTTTAATAACCATAAATATATAATCTTGCAAGAGTTTGTTTCTTAAAACTTCAAAAGAATTTAAATGTTAAAAACGCTTAGGCTAAAAACTTCAAATTCAATTTATTAGACTGACAAAAGTTAACTTATAATTTGCTATTCTGACTGCATTATTCAAAAATATATAAGTAGAATTCCTGAAAATATTAGTATAATTTTCTATTTTGTACTGAAAGAGGTCTCATTTCGAAAGTAATTACCTCATCCCATCTCAGATTGAAACATAAGCCTCTGAATATATAATAATTTTTTTTTTATTGAACGAAATGCAAAAAAAAATTAATCTTATTTATTCTGTAAGTTGGCAGTTGTGTACCTGATGCATGAATAGAGTTTGTTCAGTGAAATGTTAAGATATAGATGCAAGTACACTGTAGGCGAAGAGTATTGGTATGGGTAATTTTTCCGAAAATATTTTTAGGGATCGGCCATAAAGTTTTATGGGATTCGTTTACACGTGACACAAGTCTTTAGGTAGTAGGCGAGAGCAAGGCTACAAATTTTTCTACTACTATATATTTATATTATATTTGTTAAGTTGATAAAGCGATTTTCGGCCGAGCTTGTCCTCTAATGTATATACTACGTTTTGATGTGTTACGCCTGGCGACCCGAACCGGAAAACATTCCCTGGCGAATTAAAAAAAAAATATTTAATCTTAGTTAAATATTTTTTATTCATACCAAGAAAATAACAAAAGCATCCGACTAATTACACAAGATCTCTTTTATGCTTCATTTTTACGACAGTTTAGATATAAAAGTCTATAAGTAAAAGATGAACTTCTAACAATTAGGTACGTGAACAGGTAGCACTAAATAATCATGGTTAAGTATTTATTGTTTCGGTTTCCGTTAGTGATGGGTATTTTTTGAACAGCTGCTTTCTGTCTTGTTTCTATTGTAGAATTTTTTTAGTAGAGTAGAATTGAACTAACAAATAAAGTTATTTATTTTAATAAAAACTGTTTTTATAACAATTGTATTTGGTTCAAATGTCAGACGCAAGTGGTAAGAAACGAAGTGCATCGGAGGAAAACGAAAATCCACAGCACAGAGACGTAGAAGGCGATGAAAATGAAAGTGATGATGAGGGCTGGATTGGTCCTATGCCAGGCGAACAATCAGCAATTTCAAAACCTAAAAAGCGAAAGGTTTTGCCATATGAAAAGGTGTATTTGGAAAATCTACCAAATGCTGAGAGTTATGAGAGAAGTTACATGCATCGTGATGTAATAACACACGTCGTTAGTACAAAGACGGAATTTATTGTCACTGGTAGTTATGATGGCCATATAAAATTTTGGAAAAAAATGGAGGAAGGGATAGAATTTGTAAAGCATTTTCGAAGCCATTTAAGTAAGGGCACCGTTTAATTTTTAAAATCATCTTCTAATTTTTCATTACCTTCTTTTAGTGCCAATACACTCTTTAATAACGAACACAAGTGGCACACTTCTGTGCTCGGCATCAGCGGACAAATGTGCTAAAATTTTCGACGTAGTTAACTTTGATATGATAAACATTATTAAATTGGGTTTTACGCCCTTGTGTTCTGAATGGATACATTCCTCTGGTGATGCTGTACATAGTTTGGCAATGTAAGTACAAAATACAAAAAGTTTCCGCTTTGTATTAAAACTATATCTTAATAATTTACAGTTCAGATAAAGACAGTAATAAAATATTTATATACGATGGACAAGGAAATGGAGACGTTCTACAAGTTTTGGATAAACTGCACTCTGCGCCAGTAGTGGCTATGTGTTATAATTTAGCGTTTGAAACTGTTATTTCGGTTGATAAAAATGGAATACTTGAATATTGGCAAAACTCTAAGCATGACTACAAGTTTCCCCAAAAGCTTGTGACGTTCGAATCAAAGTTAGACACAAGTAGGTGAACAAAACCAAACTTAGCAGCAAAAAATTTCATATAGTAATATTTTGAATATAACCCGTTGCAGGCCTGTTTGAGTTTGCGAAAAACAAAGCTCTGGTTACTGGTCTTGCCGTGGCACCTGACGGTCGTCGATTTGCCGCTATATCAAATGATCGAAAAGTAAGATTATTTCAATTTAACACCGGTAAACTAATACGGGTATTGGATGAGGCTTTAACGACATACACCCAAATGCAGCAAACTCCACATGCGCTACCGAATATGGAATTCGGCAGAAGGTAAGCGCTAAAACTCAGATCATACTTCCGATCATTCTTCCGAAACTAAAGTAAGATTAATAATATTTTAACTCTTTAAAATAATATTAGAATGGCTGTGGAGCGGGATTTGGATAAATCAGAATTTAATACAAGCAACAATATACTCTTCGACATCAGCGGTCATTTTATAATGTATCCCACCATGTTGGGCGTTAAAGTAATTAATATTGAAACAAATAGATGTGTTTCAATTCTAGGCAAAACCGATAATATACGTCCACTTCATATTGCACTATTTCAGGTATTACTAAGGAAATTTATATATAGATCATTATTCAATGTCAAATCTAACGAAACATAAAAACTTGGTGAAAAATTTCAGTAGTTAAATAATAATAATATTTGATTTTAACTATGTATTTTAATTTTAAATTAACTTTTTTTTTAGTTTGAATTTAACCTTTTTTAATTTTTTTAAAATTTTATTTTAATTTAATTTTTTTAAAATTTTATTTTAATTTAATTTTTTTTTTATTTAATTTAAAAAAAATGTATAGCCCCAAGAGAAACGATTCTGTTATCTTTATGACATAGGCTGTCCCATATACACATACATATTTACATAATAATGTACATGTTATATTCATTTAACCGACTTATAGGGCAAAGCGAAAAAATCTAAGGCGGCAATTACTCTGGAACAAGAGGCTAGCGATAATCCCACTTTACAATCCATTGCTAATGATCCAACGGTTTTCTGTGCCGCTTATAAGTGAGTATACAGACTACAAGTTTAATTTAAATTATGCTGAAAAAAATATAATTGCAATTCCTTTTTTAGAAAGCCAAGATTTTATCTATACAGTCGTCGGTTGCCATCTGACTTACAGGATGTTGATCGAGATGTATTCAATGAAAAGCCGTCTAAAGAAGATATTATTGCTGTACCAGAGGGTCAAGGTATATTTAAAAAATGCTATATGCATTTATTTTTAAAAACGTAAAGTGTTCTAAAATCATAAACTTTTAAAAATTTTCACGCTAAACTGTTGATCTTTTGCGCAGATGAAGGTTTTTTAAATTTAAATTTCGTCAACTTATGGCAAGAATTAATAATTATTTTTAATTAATATGTTAAGGTACACAACGTGTCTACGAAAACGCTGTTTTGCATACAACAATGGGCGACATACATATGAAACTCTTCTACAAGGAGTGTCCTAAATCAGTCGAAAACTTTTGTGTTCACTCAAAAAATGGGTATTTTTTGTATTTTTGTGCATTATAGGCACATGCAGGAATTTGTACTAAATAACATATTGTTTTTGTAGTTACTATAATGGGCACATCTTCCATCGTGTTATAAAAGGTTTCATGATACAAACTGGAGATCCTACAGGTACAGGAACTGGTGGCAAATCGATATGGGGTAATGATTTCAAAGATGAATTTGTGCCAAGTCTCAAACATGATCGCCCTTACACCGTCAGCATGGCAAATGCTGGACCAAACACCAATGGCAGTCAATTCTTCATTACAGTATTGCCTACGGTAAACTATCAAATCATAATAATTTTTTTTTATTATTGAATAAGAATTAATCATTGCTTAATATTTTTAGCCATGGCTTGATAATAAGCATACGGTGTTTGGTCGTGTGTTTCGTGGTATGGAAGTTGTACAAAATATTTGCAATGCAAAAGCAAATCCTAAAACCGACAAGCCCTATGACGATATCAAAATAATATCTATACGCTTGAGTAATTAATACTTTATTTTATTATAATGTATAATTAACTTTGTTTATTTGTCATATTTAGAATTCTATATATTGTGTATAGTGACATCGTTTTACGTATTTTTATACTTACCATAAAACTGCATATTTAGGATAAACATACGTTTTTTATTATTTCTATTCGTAAAAGATTTTATATTTAAGTGAATTGCGTATAAACTTAAGTGCGTACGTTATGTTCACAATCACACTTATAAATACATATTTACATAATATTTTCGTAATATATTTCTCTGTGTATGAATTTCAAATGACAAATAAAACATTTACGCTTATACAAAACATATGTTAACATTTGTAAATAATATCGATAGCTGCAAAAAAAAAAGCCAAAGCCAATTTTGTTATTAATCGGAAATATTTATATTTTTAACTTACTACATTTTTAATATATTATCACATTTCGTTCTAAAAAGAACCACATTGCAACGTATTTTTAGTTTCTTAATAAATTTGTGAATCTGAATTCTTCACTCTCAAATTTATTAAATTTCAGATATAATTTAATAAAAAATAAATCAAAACAAGAAATAAACTATTGAGCCATTAAGTCGTAATATATAATTGGGTTAAATGGTCTAGCGATATTTATAAATCGGTATTATAAATAGAAAAATAACTTTTATATTATTTTTTTGCCTTACTATAGAACTAAAATGAACATACTTGTAGATCCTACATTTGTAAAAACATGTATGTATCTAAAAAAATTTTAACCATAAGGGTGCAGATAGCTATTAATTAATAAGTTATTCAGCTTGTATATAAAAACAAAAGTATCTCGTAAGATGAAATAATTGAAACTTAAATATTCTATTTAACTTTAAATTGCACTTTTCAAAAAAAAAAATTATAAAAGAAATTTTAATTCACCACCTTGAACACAGTAGCAGTAATATATAAAAATAATATAAAAAATGTACGAATGTTCTTTTTATAAATTTAAAAATGAACCTTATTCGGTAATAATTTTTTGATACTATTATGTCTTAATGTGCTCAAAATTTGATTTATTTCTTAGCGAATATTACAACATAAGAAAGTCTACATTCGAATTTTCTTTCAAAAGTATAGTATATACATATATATGTATAATGTATTTAGCATAATGGATCGCAATTATTAAGCAATGTTTTTCATATGTCGACTATAATTCAGAAATAAAATTCAGAAACGATTAGCATCTAGGTATATCCGATATCAATTAATACTTTTCATCGTTCATTCTCACGTTAGTGTCTAGCTATAACTACGATCTCTCTCTCTCTATGCATCTACACTACATTGTGAGCTAATATCGAAATCTGAAACACTATCTGAGCCATAACCTGTGATGCCGCCGCCATTGGTAGCGGCATGGTTGTTAGTCGCTACCGAAGCGGCTATTGCACGCGGACGTAACACATCGGGTACATAAATTGGCGCCGGACCAGCCATCTCCACAACACTAGGACGTGGAACTGAAGCACAGCGTTTTATCGGTGACATTAATGCAAATAATGCCAATGTTAATATCAAAGTAATAAAAAGTATGATAGAACGTGCATTGCCTCTTTCACGGAATACTGAAATCATTGCCATCACAACCAACAGGATGACAATTGCAAATTTGGTCATTGTGACGGCTGTCGAATGAATTTTTCCACCATTTCTTGATATCATATTTGATGGTCCGTAAGCGAAATATAAATTATGTCGATCTACGAAATGTTTGAAACAGATATAAATCATTGCAAAAGGCATCACTAGAGGACAAGAGACACTGTAAACAATTGAAATGGTGAACACCAGTACAGTCCAAGCGTAGTGAATTCCGAATGGAAATTCAATCAATATAGATTTGCGTATATATGGCGTTTCTGCTTTCGATTTAGCTGTGCACAACATCCATATGTAAACAATCAGTTCTGGGAAACGCAACAACTCTAAGGCTGTACCAATGAAAGCAGCTGTGATCACGTAATTGACATAGAATGAACCCCGATCAGGCATAAAAACACAGTGCCAACGTATGGTGTCATTGCTAATTGACCATTCGATTAGTTTTTGTGCTGATGTGAGTCCAAGTGAGGGTAAAATAAGAATCATTAGTAATAGATAGCAAAAACATTTAATCATAATGGAATAATTCTGTAGAGAACGTGTATAATGCGCCAACCATTTATCGGAAAATGCAACAATAACGGGCATAAGTGCCGCAAGTGTCCACAGCAACAATGTGGGTAAGAACTCCGATACTACCGGTGATATCTGATATATATTACCTTTGGCTAATGCATAGGTATTTAGAAAATTTAGCACAATCGCAGGTGTGGTAAGAAAGAATAGCGCCAGGAAAAGTATAAAGTTAACAACTCCCCATTTAAAGTACCAATTGCTCTTGCTCACATTTAAATTCTCCCAAAAGAGATCGTCAGGCGATGGCGCAAATTCCAAATTCCATTTTCTATAAGTGCCAGGTGTGAAATGGCTGACAATATTTTGTGCCTCATGCACAGTCGAAACTGTTATAAAGGCAATGCCGAGTGGCTCATTTAGTGCTGAGGCACGCAGACGTGCTACATCTCCAGACAATTTACGCTCTTCACGTTGATAATAGGCGAATGCGTTTTCTTTAGCACATGAGCATAAATTTGGCTGAACCTGAAAAGAAATGAAAAGTGATTTCCATGAAATAACAGTTTTAAAATATAAGAAGCTTCTAATGGAATTTATTAATTTGATGGATTTTTTTTTTTTTTGAAAACTTTAATATTTGTAAAGAAATCTTTATAATTTATCTGAACATTTTTGAAGAAATAGTCAATTAAGTTATATTTATTCATTTTTAGACCGATATCTTGTTAATTACCTGCAGCGTATCCCTATCGCGGTGATATTCACAGTACAAACGTGCGTCCAATATCTTTTCATACTCCGCACTTCGCACTGTCAGTTTCGATATGTTATAGGCAATTTGCACGTCCTCGATATTAACATCAGGAAATAGTTCTTGTATGTAATGACGTATAACTGTTTTATTACGATCACTCGCTGATATATTGGATATCATAATGGTACGTGTAGATGCTGTTTTAAACGCATTTCGCCCAGAAGATCTTCGCATTATCAGCACGATTAAAGGAGCATAGATAATTGTTACAATAACATGTACCCACTGCCATGGAGATTCATAGGGTACGTTTTCCATAGTCGTATGGCCAAATGCATTCAAATCAGATCTGCCTTCACTCGGTCCACTAAATAAGTTTACCGGTAATATTATGATCAATGAAACTAACGTAACTATAGCCATTACAGTCATAAGATGCTTCTGAAAAGATAAATAATGTACGGCATCGGGTCCTGTATGCATCAATATTTGTTCTTTTTGTAATTTCCAGGTTATTATAATCCAAGCGAAAAAGCCCTGGTCTGCTTGAATGGGGGATTGAGTGGAATCAGATGCGCTCAACGAAATACTACTCCGCCCCTCTTCAGTACCATTCTGTGTACGGCTGGTCGATGCTTGCGGGAGCGGTGAAGCAATCATACTTGTTGCGCGAGAGTAGAAAACTTCGGTCCAACGCTTTCTGCTACCATTACTGTTGACAAGCGCTAAACGGCCATAATCGCCCGCTTGATGTCGTAAAGCGGTGAATAATCCAATTAGAAGCAGCCATGAAATAACGTTTAGTACAAGAGTTTCCGGAATACCGTTAAAATCAGTGGTAAATATTGTTGTCTTATTAGGTAATTGATCACACTCATCACTCCAAGATCGTTCAGCAAACATATTTTGAAATACATCCATATTCTTCCATGTAACGAAAAGCGTTTAGCCGTGCGTAAGTTTGGACTTTCGCGAAAGTAGTTCTCCTGTAAAAAATACGATGAATAAAACATTTGGTTAAAGTATTTAAATTTAAATTCATTGAACTTTAAAAACAAAGCGAGGAATAAAATAAATTTCAGGACTTATCAAACGATATATGCTATTGTAAGGGTATTTTTGAAATTAATTACATTTTCCAAATTTTTTATTAGTCTTTCTGCAACAGCCTTAATTTCTTTTTTGTGCTTTTTTTTACATACATACGTGCTTATATACATATGAATGTGTGTATATAGCTAAAACATTTATCATTTTGATTCACTCAAGAGATAATTGATAACGAGATAGATTGTAGTTAAAATACGCCCATCCGGTAGGTATGTTCAATTGTAATAGACAATAAAGTATACATTATTCATGTCTTGAAGAGTTGGAGTTATTTAGCTTATCATATTTTAAATATATAATAAATAATATTAGCTTAATTATTATTTGAATATTACTGAAATTATAAATAATCACATGTAAATTCTACAGTACCATGAAAATAAGGCCACAAAGCTGCTTTATATTGTATATTAATTCAGCAACAACTTATGCATATATTTATGTATGTATGTATGTGAAGATGCATTTCTAAATAATATAAATATTTTGATATGAGTATACATATATAATTACTGATAAAACGTAACGCTATAATCTTTAATAAGACTCTCGGCCTTTACAAAGAATCTGTGATCGTGTATTTAAGCGAGTTTAAGTTTACATTAAATTATAATTAGCTAGTACGCTTCAGTTTCGATAGGTGTAAAAAATAATTTATTAAAATTTTTGCATATATAATTGAAGTCTTCCGTAATCAGCATTAGTTTACAATAATAATTGGTAATAAAAAGAACATCATTTTAACATTATTATTCAAAGAGAAATGTGTCATTATTATAGCACTTTTGCCAGCACTACAATATGTTGTACAAAATAGAAAACGCAAATGAATCATCATATTTTATACGTATATATGTACGCCAAGCAAATTTACTTAAAGTTATACATATTTATGTGCAAGACGTACCCGTACCTATTTAGTCTTAACGCTAATAAACATTGGAAAATCAATCTTTCGAAGTAGTCCTACACACAAAGCTTCTGCAGACGAAACCACAATCTTACACATTCCAAAATGCACTGAACCATACAAAAGAGTTCATTATGAAAATTGCGTTAGAAAGCTACAGTAGTTTGCAAAATTAAGTTTCATATATAAATAGGTATTATAATAATATAATACACTTCTGTAATAATTTTCGTAAAGAAATATTTTTACATACCTTTTATATTTAAATGTTCTGCGTGTCCACTATATTAAGTATTTTATTTTGATACCAATTGCTTAATCACTATGAATAATAGTAGCCAATACGATCTCAATCTGCACTGCACAAAAAACAATAACATATGTGAAGCTCCAAAAAGAAAACATATAAGGATTGAATAATAAAATGAAAAAGAAACGCAATAAATGAACAAAACGAGTTTAATCCAATGATTCCAAGTCGTGTAATTGTGCTGCCAAGTTGTACAAATTTGGCAAGTAAGTTGATGGCAGATAGGACTTTATTTATTGCGTTGGGTGACACTTCAACTTTTGCCAGCAATGCGAAAAACTCTGATGCCAAGATACAAGGAATATTTTTCTATGCAGTTATTCTAGCAAAAAGAAAAAAATCTGTTACGTTAAGAAATTATTGAACATCTCTTGAAGTTTCTCATTTCAATTTATTATTATTTTTATTATTTTGATTCCGGTGAAAATTGTTTTAATAGTAAAATACTATATTTATTTGAAAATAACGTAGATTTTTTAAAGAAATTATTATACACAATTTTTATTTTAATAGATTTGTGTAAATTGTTAAAATGTAAAACTTCAATTTTTGCATGTATGCGGCGAGCACCGAATTCCGAATTTAGGTTGTTGTTGTTGTTGTAGCGGTCCACCACCCCACTTAGGCACAGGTTTGATCATTCTAAGTCACCGAGGTCATCTAATTGTAGGTCCAGGAAACGAGCTGTTTCGACGGGGTTGGACCAAGGGGAGAGGGGGGTTAGATGAGTTGGTTTGAGAGGGCATGTGAAGAGGTGGTTAGTGTCGAGCGGACACTCTCCACATGCAGGGCACACGTTGGGTATGCTGGAGTATAGTCTGGATAAGTAGGAGTTTAACCTGCTACAATATCCAGACCTGAGTTATGTCAGGGTCACACGGGTCTCTCGAGGCAGCTCGAGCTCGTTGTCTGCTATAGGTGGTGGTATTTCTCCGAGTACGCCATTCACTGGAAGGGAGTCCTTGAAGGTGTTGGCTGACTCATGGTGAATGGCGTTCAGTGCTTGTCGGTACGCCGTCCTGTCCAGCGGTTGTTGCACATGTTGCTGGATTGTGTACTTTAGGTCTAGTAATCCCTTTCTGATGTGCCTAGGTGGAGGTTCAGCTTCCATTAGGTGCCTACTGGGGTGCTCCCTGCGGTAGCATCCCAATTGGAACTGCTTGCACAGCAAAGCATTATGCCCCTTAACTCGTAGCATAGGTGCTGCCCTGTGCAAGTGTTGCCCCGGCGACATCAGGAGGTTTCCTGTCGCGGTCCTGAGTGCGGTGTTCTGGCAAGCCTGTAGCTTCTTCATCTGCGTCTCGTTCGTCCCCGGCGCCCAGATCGGTGCGGCATAGTTTACGACCGGCCGGCCAATTGCTTTATTTGTAGCCAGCAAAGTTTCTTTGTCTTTACCCCAGGTGCTGCCGGCTAGCGCTTTGAATATTTTGTTGCGGCTCTGGAGTTTCTCGGCAATTGCGGTCGTATGCGGAGTGAAGGAGTGCAGGCTGTCTAGCGTTACTCCCAATAATTTTGGGTTATTTACCGTCGGAATTTTTGTGTCTTCGACCGTCACATCTAGTTCAAGCCTGTACTCCTTCGTCCAGCTGGTGAAGAGGGTAGCCGAGGATTTCGTCGGGTGAATTCTTAGGTAGCCGTTCACTTTCGAACAGAGGTCATCAATATCCTGTCCAGACGCCATTATCGTACAATCATCGACATAAGAGGTTAGGGAAACTCCTTCTGGTGGTGGAGGGAGTTTCGAGATGTAAAAATTAACCAGTAGCGGGGAGAGGACTCCACCCTGCGGAACCCCCTGTTTAATTTTTCTGGATTTAGATGTTACACCTCGGAAAGTTACCGATGATTGTTGACCACACAGGTAGCCCATGACCCACCTCTGCAACCCCGGCGGTAATGAGAATTGTCCGTTATTAGCATTGAGTGATTGACTGTGTCAAAAGCTTTTGACAAGTCCAGTGCTCAGAGAACGTATAACATGTTATACGTTCTCTGCAGTGCTGGCCAAGTTGCCAGCACTTAAAAATAAAAGCATTGGGTTTTTAAATTTGGCAGCATTGGTTTCACACATTTCTTAATTATCTCTGACATTTCTTTAGGTTCACTCTTTCACGCTAAGATCAATAAATATTTTCTCTAATTCTCGCTAAGATGGCTCAAAAAGGTATTAATCCTATAAATATTCTAAAAAGTATCTACCAGAACGAATTCCAATGGTAAGAATTTATTTTACATGAATTGCAAATGGTGACGTAACGTAAATTGTTAAAAAAAATATTAAAACCAAATTTTTATCTACTTTCTTTAAGGTCCCTGGTGAAGAGTTTTGGGTTCTTTTTGCTTGGCGTCCGTATCGCTAAAGAATTCGCAGGATTGGAGATCATGCCGGCGATAACACAACATTAGTGCTAACACAGATTTTTTCAAATGTGCTTAACATTTTTTTATTTAATAACCTCAACTATCTTTGCCATTGATTTGTTTCAAAGATGCTTAAATAAAATAAATAGTAAAATTGTGAAGACTTAAATATGACAAGAAAAATATTGCAATTAAATTTTAACAAATTACGATTCTGTACTTAGTACACTTTTGCTAATGTCTTGTACAATTTCATTATTCGCGTCGATCTCATGTAGTAAGCTTTGTGCAAGGATTTGAGGTGTCATATTTCTATTTAAAAAATTAGTGACGAGTTGTTTGGAAGGTATGCCTCCACCATGGGCCAAAATTTCCCGACGGTATTTTTCACCTGATTCACGATTAAGCGGGTTGTCCTCGAAATATGTTTGCCAAATCCAGGAGGCGATTGTTTTCGATATCAAATAGGAATAGTACTTTGCGCCATAACCTACCAAATGAGAAAATCGAAGCTGCCAAGCTGTATTTTCTACATATGGTAAACTATAGTATTTTGTTTGTACATCTACCAAAGTGTCGGTTGTACTTCCATTACGCGGCACTGGTCCACTGTGATATTCATGATCAAGTGCAGAATAGAATACCTAGAAATGTAGTGCAGCATATGAGCTTGTGCATTAATAACAAAATAATGCACTTACCTGAAGCTGTGTTTCACTGGCGGAGAAAAGCCTTTTCGAGGCACATAATCTTTGGAGCATATCATCAGAAATTGGTTTTTGCGTCTGAAAATGGCGTGCAAACGTGCGAAGAACACGCGGATCATTTGCAAAATATTCCATCAATACTGATGGAACCTCGGCGAAATCTGTACTACAACGTGTACCAGTTACATGTTGATATTTCGTACGAGCTAACATCGAATGCATAGCATGCCCCATTTCATGAAAGAGATTATCGACACGTGATGGAGACAAAAGTACTGGGCCAGTCCAATGTGGTTGAGAAAGATTTAACATCACTACAACTATTGGCATTTGATAAGTACCATCGGTTAAGGTTTTTCCACCTTGTATAGTGAAGTGACAATCTTGATTCGGTTTTCCATTGCGCTCGAAAAAATCACAATAAATGTATCCAAGTAAACCTTCTGTTTCATGCATAACAGATATTTTATAAATATCATTATTCCATGCCTCTCCAGGTTCCATTTCAGTATTTTTTAATGATATTCCATATAATGAGCGCATTAAGTTATCTATTCCCTCCATACAACCACCCAAACTGAAGTAAGGCAAAAACTCACTTGTGTTCGCTTTTAAAGATTTACGTTCCATCAAAGATGTAAAATAAGGGGGATCCCAAGCAGCTAGACGCGCGGTTTCGATACCGCTATGCTGCCGCTAAAAGGATCTTAAGTTAGTAAAACTTTTTAAAAAGCATAAAACATGCAATTAAATAAATACCTTCATCTTTTCCATTATTCGAAAATCAGCATCGGCTCGAGAGCGAAGACCATGGGACAATTCATCAAGAAATTCTCGAACCATCCTTGGATGCTCCACAGTACTCGCATTAAGGGCACGATGGCCATAAGTCTCAAATCCACAAGTTCGGGCGAGTTCGTGGCGGCACATGAGCAAATCTTTAAGTAGTTGATCCTGCTGTTCCGACGGCTTCAGAAATAACCGGTAAGCAGCTTCTCGGGCCTCAGCAGATGACGAGTTTGTGTACAAGCCGGAAACAAGTACGTTGTCACCCTCCGAGGGAAAACTAGTTATTAAATAAAATAATTAACTAATTCATTACGGTGAAATAATCTTTTAACATACTAACTACGAACTGATGAGGGTACTTCAGTACGCCTTATAATAGAAGGCTGCACTGCACCGGCCATAAATTTTTGTCCCAATTGCAAAATATATTCATTTAGACGTACAACTTTTTGCCTCTGCTCTTCCGGCAAATGAATGCCCGACTGCTCAAAATCAAATAGGAATAAATTTGATACATGTTTATCCACATCGGTTGTGGGTACATAATCGCCATTATCTACAACATTGCGTAACGCCATATACAAGGGTTTATGGGTATTTAAATTTTCCACTATTCGGCTTATTGTAATACACGCATCTTCAGCTGCCTGGCAATATTTGTTTTTGGGATGTGCGATTCGTATAAATTCTGCTAAATCAGCTACTTTACACAAAGAATCGGATAGTTCATCAAAAATTTCAACCTACAATGAAAAGTGTTAAAAGGAAATAAACATCATTTTTCCATTATAGTTACCATTTTTCTATCCCGATTCTTTGAAATAGCTTCGGTTATCAACTCGTCCGTTTTATTTGCTACATTATCACGCAAAAGATAGAACCCTTCAAAGGATCGCAATTCCGGTAAACGAAATAGCCCCTGCAATTAATAATTTGTTGAAATTATAAAGGATTCTATAATAAAGTGGAAATTATGCATATGTTCAATAATAAATTGTTACCGATTCATTTCGCGTAAAGTTTATTTTATTATACGGTGGTGAATTAAACGCAGTGGCCAACGGAGTTGACCAGGTTGAGACACTCTGGCGTAAATCATATAGAAGGGATTTAGCTACTCGATTTTTACCTGTCCTAATCATTTTACAATCTTCTATTTTTTTTTTATTTACAGTGAATGAATTTCACTCTAGAGCGTAAAGATATTTTTTTACGTTCTCTGATTGTCAGCTGCATTTATCAGAGACAAGGAAAATTTACATTTGGTAGCTGGCAATTATGGCTTAAGTTAAACAAGTTTTAAATTATGGCAACATTGTCAAATCTCAATCGAAAAAATTTCCCTGACGTTCGCACACAAGTGTAATTTTGTGCATTTTGTTTTCATTTCACAGCGATATAAAGTCGGGGAATATACTAAAGTGTATTAAAAATTACTTGAGTTGATCAAAATAATAATACAATACCAAAGGATATTTATAAAAATTAATGATGAGTGGAGAAATCACTATCGTTGGGCAAGTAGATGCTATTGAAAATACAATGCAATTTGATGCTGACTCTTCAAGTTCGGGTTCTCCTGTACCTACATATTTAACAACGCCACAACCTACCAATAGCGCAATAGCAAAAGAAACTCATCCTTCTTCTAACATTAGCAATAAACGACAAGTATTGCGATTTCATCCATATCATGGCGCTAACATAATTTTGTACCAAGATAATACAGTTGCTTATCGAAAAGCAAGCTTTGCCGATGCAGTTACTTTCTCTGAAAAACCCCTACAGCCTGGCGAAATATTTTTGGTTGAAATCGAAAAAAATGAACGTGGTTGGTCTGGCCATATTAGATTAGGTTTGACGAAATTGCAACCTAATGTCATTGGCTCCATGTCGGAGGGATTGCCACAGTTTGCATTACCCGATTTGGCTAACTTAGGAACTAGTTGGATTTATCCCATTTCAAAATTCGAGTCACATGCTCCTTTGCCTCCCGATAATAACCCTGTGCGATTAATAGGCTCGAGTTCTTTATATACAATACCACCACTTATTCAACCATCGCCAGGTTCAGAAGAAGATGAGCCAGTTAAAAAACAGAGTAAGTTTTGAATATATACATAATAACATCACATACATAATTTATAAAAATTGTATATTCCTTAACAGGAAATATACTAGGAAATTCCATGTATGTACGTACACCGATCGGGATGATTCCAAAACGTTTATTGCGACCTGCTGTTGATAACGGAGATGGCAATTCTGGTATTTTGCTTACCGATAAAGGCTCACGCATTGGCGTTGTGTATGTACCTACAGAATCAGATAAAGATAAAGGTGAAATGCATTTTATTATTAATGGGGTCGACCAAGGTCCATGCACCAAGGATATACCCATGGACAATTCTCCACTCCATGTAGTCATAGATGTATATGGCACAACAAAACAAATTCGAATCATACAGCTTTACGAAAGTAAGTTCAAAATAATTACAAGCCCTTAGTTGTTTACTTTTTTTTAACTTCGATTAATTAGTAGTTTCTCTACAAAATGCTTGCCGAGATGAAATTCTACTGCACACAAGACCACAAAATATCGATAATTTGCCACTTCCTGAACGACTTAAGAACTTTCTTCGCCGTAATGACTAGATAGGAAAGAAAGCCGTATAATATAAGCAAAATTTAGCGTCTATATGCTTGCATAGAAGGTACGTGGTTCATATATCGAAATAATACAACAAACATAATTGGAAAAGAGATTTGCGATGATATGTTGTTAAAAACTTTTGTTACATCGATCTTCACATGTAAGAAGATGATAGTGTTTGAATACGGCTTCGAATGGGATGTGGGATAGCAGACATTTTTTGTGAAGATTGAAAGAAAGCTGACTATATTGAACGTTTTGTTTATTGTTGACAATGATGGGACCATAATCTATAACATTCGCCTGTATTTCAAATGGGCATAGTTTAAATAAAAAAAATTAACATACAAAAATATTTATACACAAATATTAATTAAATATGTAGTAGTTTATGCATTACAAAATATGTTTATAGTAGAAAAGGTAGTTCATAAAACTGGATTTTATTTACGAAATTTAATGCAACTTAAATGAATCGTTGTATTCACAAAGAAAAAGTATCACATTCTATTGTAAATGAACAACAAATTGGCGTACATTTACTAAAAAATATAAGTATTGTGCTATTTTTTTTAGAAAGGTGCAGTACAAAAAAAAATTGTCTCCAGCTAATGCACACATTCGTATTTACTTATATACTTTATACCTTTATAATAAAACATTGCATATAAAGAAACAGATAAGAAGTTAACCTTATCTTTGCACAATGCTCTAACTAAATAAAAGACATTAATCATTTCAAATTTTTACTTTTTGTATACATTCATACATACTTACATGCAATGTCGTGCGTTTATGTATTCTTAATATTAATATTACTATATGTTTTCATTAAATAAAAAGCTTGATGAATTTAATTGTTGAAATTTTCTATACTAAGGGTTCCTTCGAAAATATTAACAGAGAACATAAAATACAAGACAAATTTACACACGGCAGTAGTATAGATATTATATTATTTCATCATGGGTAGTACAAAGAGTATGAAAACAAAAGGCCTATGTATTTTGTTTGTGTAATAGTAGTTTCGAATAGTCAATGTATTTGGTTGGTGTAATAAAAAGTTCGTAACGTCAAAACCTATACCTCATGTATTTTGTTTGTGTAATTTGTTAAAATGGAAAGTAGAACAAGCAATCATAGGAAGTGACAATTTTGTTGTGTGAAACATTGGCTATCTATGATAATTATTCTTTATCGATGTTTTGTACAATAGAGTGAATTCTTTATAACAATTTTATTTGCCATCTTAGTTAAAGTTATACATACATACATGTGAATGCAGTTAGAAAATACATAATCACTTTTGTTTTGTACGGTTGTTAGCTAAAATTTCTTTGAAGATTCTCTTTAGTTCATCAGCACCATCTTGATTGATTTTCTGGTAATTTGGCAACTCAGACAACCGTTTCAACCAAGCCAACAACTTTGGAAATTTGAACTCATCAACTGGCGCTACTTCATCAACGGATGTAATTGTTGCTGCGCAACAAAAATCGGCGATGGTCAAATCATCACCACACACATAAGGATGCTCTTTCAACATTTCCTCCATGATTTCATAAGTTTTCTGTATGTAAGCAATCTTATCCATTGAGCAATCTGTTGAACCGTTATATAAAATGGGTTCATACAAGAAACGTAAACGTGCAAATAAATGTCCAGAGTCGAAATGTAAACGAGCATTCACTTGAGCACGTTTAACCAGATCCTTTGGATACAGCTTATCATCCTTTCCATACTTGTCCACCAAGTAACCACAGATTGCATGAGAATCGTAAATGATATTTTCTTCGTCGATCAAAGTTGGTATGGTATGTTGTGGATTCATCTTTACGAAATCCTCTGTTAGATGTTCGCCTTTTAATAGGTTAATGGAGCTAAAGAGAAAAATTATTATTTTATTTATTATTAACTTGTTTATTTTTTTTGCCGCAATACTTGCCGTAATTCCAATTCAACGCCAAGTGCATTTGCTGTCAATAGAACTGCACGCGATGGTGGACTAAGTGTAGCATAGAATAAAACTGGTTTTCCCATTTTTTTGATTTCTGAAAAAAAAATCAAAAAAATCAAAGTTATTCAAATCTAGTTTTGTTATAATATTATATATACAACAATTTAACAAATAATGAATTAAAAAGTTTTGTTAAGTAGAACTTTTTTGAATCTCAAATTTTTTGAGCGCTTACAGAGCACGACTGAGGTTTTACCTTTAACATATGTATACAATATATGTATGTACCTACATGGGTGTATGCAAGTATGAATCTGTAAATCAGCACTAAATTCTTAATTAGAATACCCCATTATGAGGAACATTCATTTCTATGCATGTATTAATGTACATAGATGTACCTACAAATGTATGCATGCAAGCATTTACAATAATTTGCAAATTGTTATACTTCTATGTTTATTTACATTCATATATACACACATAAATACATATGTATATATGCACATTATTTCTATTCATCAGCAGTCAATTAAGCGAGTATACAGCAGTGAGCACTGTTATCCTCCACAAAATATTCATTTAAATTAAGGATATGATATAGACAGATGTGTATTTTGATAGTATATAAACTATTACGAATTTTTTATGTACATATGTATATGTGTCCCTAGAAATGAATATAAATATTAAGATACAAACGACGCCATTTATTAAATTTACTTGGTTTTTTTTTATCAACAACGAATTTCAACCACCTATCCACTTTGACTTATTCCACTTTACTATAATAACCTCATACAAATAAGAGAGTGAATGTGAGTTAGAAAACAAAGACCAAAAGGAAAAGTTTTATTAATTAAGGGTTTCAATACTTACTCTCGTAGGTATTTCTGACTAACTAAGTATCACTTTTAGCAACAGCCCTTTTCGATGATCTTTTCCAACTGAGCGTGCTATAAAGACTGAACTTCCAAAAACTCAGTAGTTCACTATTCATTTGCGGCTAAACTAAAATATACAAACACATTCAGTAATCTCAGTGAGAACGATCAACCAGCGATTACTTGTATACATGCTCATTCAAACATACATACTTACAAAGTGCATGTACAAGTGCTCATAAAAGCTCAACCGATGTGGAGCGTTATATCACCAAACAAAACAACAAAGTAATAATTTGCCATATGTGGCCGTATTAGATTATAAATTATAGTGAATATTTGTTAATATAATATTAACAAATTTATGTGCAAAAATTAAAAAACCATCAGGTGTAGGTCGCTTCATTTTGTTGGAAAAACATCAAGACGGAAAACTACAAATTGGAGGAGGGGCTCGGCCGAAAATCATTTCAGTGATTATAAAAGGCCACTTATATGTATATATACAAATATGTGCAAAAATTCGTTGAAAATTGGCTACTGGAGATCAAAATTTACTTACTGTTATCACAATACTTTCAAATACAAATAAAAATTATATTATATGTATATTAAATAAAAAGCGCTAATATATGCACATACATATGTATCTATCATCTATACTAAATGCTTGAATATCGGAAAATCTGATTTATATTTGGGACCGATCGGATAATGTTTAATGGCAGCCAAATCGCCCCAAACTTGGAAAATTTGGTTTATATGGAAAAATTACTCATACGTAAACTTTTTTTTGTCTAACTTCTTTAAAAATAGTTTACCAACTTATTCTTTTGTTTATTTGTAAGTTAATTTGTAATATTTAGTATAACTGATTATAGCCAGAATAAGTTACAATCACATAAAAAATGATAAATGCCAATAAAGTGTGTTAATTTAATTATTGCTAATGTATTTTTATATATTTACAAAAACCATTTTTCTGAACACAGTTTTATAGGTCTTTTTTACAATGTAATGGATATGTTTTGCGATATCTCTCAACGAATTAAAGAATAAGTTGTTTTTCCTCCTCATTTTTTGTCAAAATTCGATTGTAGTCCTTCATAAATTTTATGCCACGCTCACCAGTATCGTTGACAACAAACAAACCAGCACAAAAATTAAATGACTCGATATAATCTTCATTTTCTGTCCAGGTTAATGGATCATGTTTTAGGAAACTGCTGGATAGCCCGAATGCATCGAAAAAGCATTTGTACATTCATACCATACTTTTATGTACAAAAGTATAATAAATAAGCAAATATATATATGGATACATCACATATGTTTATGTAAATACTACAAGTATTTTATTTGTTTACTATAAATCGGTTTCGATATTTGCGAATATGCGCTGTTCTCGTTGATATAACTTAACGTTAACACTAATCATGCAACCCGGGCGACCTTTTTCTCTTTGTTTGATTAGAAATTGCTTATCGTCTGCAATACGCATTATATTTAGAGCATCAGCATAAGCAATATCAAATAGATCATCTATGGTTTTGGAAAACTCGTTGCATTTCGGGTTTTTTTCAGTTTTACGAGCAGCATTCCACTTTTCGTAAAGTTTTAGTAGTTTGTCGTTACATTTGTGAGATTCGCGCAATAGTATGCGCGCTTGTTGCCAGAAAATTGACACGGCACTCACTGTTAATTTTGAACTTTCCTTTGAGCTTAGCTTTACGATTCGCTTATTATAAAAAACACCGGGAAACTTTTCCATTATGGTTCCAGGCTTTGGGAAATACGAATTATAAGGTGTGGTAGGGGGTTCTACCCTCTCTCAGAAACCGAAAACCAAACCTACCAGAGACCTTTAGTTTTCGAGATATTTACATTTAAAATAGCAAAAAAATCGAATTTTTACCCCATTATTTTGTACAAAGTGTCATTACTGTGAATTTTGGTGTTGCCACATAAAAAAAGAAATTCTACAATAAAACAACTAGAGTAAAATTTTTATACTTCATATTGTTACGATTTTACTAAATCAACCTCGATTATTTTCTAGATCCTTCGGGTACGATCTCTGGATTGTTAAATAAAAACTCGCCAATTCAATTTGCAGTTTCTTTCGTTATAAAGATTTTATCTAATGTCTTTTATTTACTCCGTAATTCACAATACAATTACAATACACTCTACTATTTACAATCACTATCATCAACTTGCACAATTCACTCTACTTAAATGTACTCTCCAACGTGTTTACTTTACGACTTTACTGATGTTAACGCCAACGAGTTTACTTTATCACTAACTTGACTTGCAGCTGAGTGTCGCCTTTATATAGCAGTCGGCTGCTCGCAGACGAAAGCGTAGAAGCATCGAATTGTTCGCTATGGAAGGTTCTTGTGTTATCGTTTCTAGAACGTACTAGTTATCGGCTTCTCTCTTTCATCTGACATTCGCCTCGCATTTTCGCAACAATATGTATATTTGACCGCTTCTATAATTTTTAAGAACGGGTCTTCCCTGTTTATTTAAAAAAAATACATACATACTAGGAATATTTATTTATTTATACTTGATATGAATATACATAGATACCATATACGAATACGAATTACATTTAGCCATTTGTAATAAGGCCTTTAAGAAAACAAAAGATAAAATTAATTTTTGTTACACCTAGTATTCAGTTATTGCCAGGACTAGTTTTCTTTTAGAGTATTCATCAATCGGCCTGAGAAATGTTTTGTGCTGCACTAATCAAAGTATCATGTATATCTTTCGCTGATTGCACATGCACTCGCACAATGTTTAAATAAGTGGAGTATGTCATAGGGCCGCCTGGATTTTCTTGCATATATGGCTCGATACGTGCGGGTGTCACAGCACTAGGCAAATAATGTTGTGCAGATGAGAGCTGTTGCATGCATTGTATAGCTGTCTTCAAGTGTAATTCGATTTGGTCACAATATGCATAGAAATCTTCCAAATGCTTTTCAAATCTACCGGCATGTGATACGCTGTCACGTTTAAGATTGTCTGCTAAATTGTGTTCTTGTAGCGCAAACGCTCCAGTACGTAATGTTAGGAAAAGGGACTCACGCAAGGGTGAGAGTAAACTTTTGACTTTTAATATATTATCCATTTTTTCAGCCTGTTGTTGTTGTTGTTGCTGCTGCTGTTGTTGTTGTTGTTGCTGCTGTGCTGCATTGGATACTTGAGCTTGCATTTGGCCTTGCATCTGCTGTTGCGGGGAGGCCTGCATCATTGAAACTGGTGAGACTCCTGACTGCATCATTTGATTTGGACCGCCTACTTGTGATATGTTCATTTGTTGTATATTATGCATATTCATATTAGGATTCATTGTTTATCGGCAAATTATTAAAAATATTCACAAAATGTGAACACTTCAAATATCTCCGATTTTAAAAACTGTAAATAATTGTATTACTTTAACTGCACTCAATTTAATGGTACTGCTGTTTAAGAAATTTGTCTTTTTTCTAGAGATGGCAAAAAAGATTGCAGAGTCTATCAAACAAAGTCGAATGACTTGAACCGGTTTCACATTTTTAAGCATATGACTAGACTGTAATGAAAAGAGTATTGTTACTTTAAACTCTCGCTAAAAAATTAACGTTTCTACGTTTCGTCTAAGATTATTCGGATATTAATAATTGTCAAAAGCAGACATATATTCAATGTAATCGGAACCTTTTATTTAAAGTGTCTGCATATAAAGTTAAATTGCAGAAACTTTTTGACAGCGAAATGCGAGAAGAAAATACAAATTTCGTGTAAATTGTCATGTCTGACAGTACCTTTAAAAAAAAGCATGTAATCATGTATTCTCGCTAGTGAAAATATATTCCGCAGTGAAGACAAGTTGTAATAAAAGATATTCCTAACTTTTACTTATAATTTGAATTCACTAATTTAATTTTTAAAATTTATATGCTTCCAAAGGGTGTTGGACTATAACAAATATAAGTAAAAGGACAAAATGAGCGACTTTCTACGCACTGAACTTGAAAAAGCTCAACAATGCCTCTTGGAGACGTATGAATTAGCTGCTTCCTATGGAGATAATGGTAATAAAATGCAATAACGAATTGGACTGCATAACCATTATAGATATATTTGAATACTTTAGAGGAAAAGGATACCAGTAAATATTTGCTTTTGATGGAGCAGATATGCCAGATTAGAGACAATTGCATTCGTAATGATCGCGCATTAGAAATGGCTATTGCAGAACATACCATAGACAGTTTTCAGATTACGTTTCAGCGAGAAATAAAGGGACCTGGAAAAAAATTTCAAGCAAAAAGAACTCGAGAATATAAAGCTTTCGCTGATCGCTTAGACGAAATATCCAACAGTGTTAACACGAGTAAAGAGGCGCCATCAACATCTAAAGATGGTGCATCAAACGAAATGGAAATGCAGGTGCAAGTTAACTTAAATGATCCACTCACAAAGAGACGTATGGTGGATCCTGTAAAGAATACAATCTGTGGACATACCTATGAAAAAAGCAGTATACAGGATGCAATTCAAATTAATCCAATGCTACGGTATGATTTAAAACTATTCTAAAATACTCGCTGTGTATTCATATTAAAAGTATACATTTTTCCACAGTTGCCCAGTTGCTGGTTGTGGAAATAATCAGTATATTACTACGGCTCACTTGAAACCAGACAAAGCTTTAAAGCTTCATCTTCAACGTTTAATAGATGCTGATGAAAACGGTGACAACGATGACTGACTTGGTTGTAAAATGGTACATATTACACTATAAATAAAAAAATTCCGTTTATTAAACTTTTTTATTTTTCCACGAAAAGAAATTTGCTTTTTATGATTGTGATTGTTGTGGTTTAGAGAAGTCGTAGACGGCAATTTGGCGCACCGCATTGACAATAAAGTACTTTGCCGGGTACAACGCCGACTTCATAATTATAATTCCAAGTTAGTTCAGTGCCTGCCCGAATATTGGTGGAGGAGAAGAAAGCTACCCACGGAAAACGCAAGTCATGTGTATCGACGAATACGTTTTGTACGAAGAGGTTCGGAGAGCAAGAGTGCTGTAAGAATAAAAAGTTACAGTAAAATGAAACGTTCAGTGGACTCTTGCTTAAATATCATTAATAATTACATTAAAATAACGTCCAAGATTTCCTGTAATTTTTGCGTCCATTACATAACAAGCTTCATCCTTGCCGAACAAAGCACGTATAGAACTAAAGAAATGACGTAGTTAACATAGTAAAATTCGTATAGAAACATAAAATATATTTGACCACTTACGATTCTCGTGCAGAATCCTCATTCATATCAGCATTTGGATTAAAATTAATTACTTGACGTTCCTGCGAGTCTTCGTCTGTGTTTTGGGCCGAACTACTGCGTGTAAGTTTTTGTGCTTTATTTTTAGCACGAGTCAAAAATGACTTACTCGGAGTGAACTCATCATCATCTTCGGGATCTGGCGCATAAGCATCCTAAAAATTACACATAAAATAATGAAATTATAAATTGAATACTTGATATGCATATGTACACAGACCTCCTCTTCTTCAACCTCTGGCGGTTCAACATCTGATTCGTATCCCTCCTTTATTTGTTCTGCTACTTCTATATAATCCAATTCTGCAAAGTACTCGTCACCAGCATCTAGACCACCCTAATTAGGTTGAAAAGAAAATAATTTTTTTTTTACCAAATACGGTTCAACATGCGACTTTACTTCATTAGCTTTAGCTTCAGTTAACAAGTGACCAGCATAAATGCATACAAAGCTGCCTCTCGGCACATCGTTTATACAACGTAAGCCCCATCCGCGATTTGACGTTTTAAATACTTGTAGTTTCATTGCAAGAGGCTGCTGTGCTACGCGATTCAAACAATTCGACTTGCACTTGCATCTAAGGAAAAAATTTAAATTAGCAGGAATTAAGGGTTGATAACAAAAAAAAGGTAGCCAACCTGGAGTTACATTCATAAATTCCCGTTGGAACATGTTCATATAAACGCTTATACTGATAGCCAATCTCTTCCATTGGTGTATTTGGATTGCCGTATTTAGCACCTGCGTAGGTGAGTTGCCAACAGGAACATTTTGCTTTATCCTATAAAAAAAAAATCATTTTTATATATGACGAAAAGGGATGCGACTTTTTCATTTTGTATGTACCGAACAGTCGCCTTCACAGTCACATCCAACTAGGAATTCTGAATCCAAATTTAGATTTACACCATCGGTAGGAATGCGTTGGGCAGCATATTTACACTCAGGCGGTAATGTGTTATCATAATAATTAACCAACGGTATTGCCATTTTCTCCTGACCACCGGATATATCACGCTTTTGCACTATAGCTGACTCAATTACATATTCTGCCAAGCAGCTGGTTTCATGATGGAAGTCGAAGTTATCGACATTGAGTGCATTTTCTGTTGCACGTAAGTAACGTCGTACCTCCTCCATGTTGCGCATAATTTTACCACATGGACCTCGATAAGCGACAATTTTTTTACTCTTAAGACGTAATATAGGGCGCTCCCAACCAGATAGTAAAGGTTTTGATAAGGGACTGTAGGCGCTAAGATTATGTGGTATTTTAAAAAGACATGTTGGTGAGCATTTGTGAGGGCGGTATATTAACGGTGGTAAATCGCGTTTCGCAGTATAATAAACAACCTACGAGCCGTGGATATTTTTTTAGTGCTTTGATAAAAATTTAAATTCAAAAAAACTTACTTTTCCTTTTGGTTTGTTTTCATCTTCAAGATAAATAGTGGAGTTGTTCAAGTGTCGAACCGTTGGCAAAGATGTCGTTGGCGAGGGTACAGTACTTAATGTTGCAGTTGAATCTGTCGATAAACGACTAACGCTCTTTTTAGCAACTGCCCGGGGTTCATTAGAAGTCACTCGTTGCTCTCTTTCGCGCTCCTTTACTTGCTCCTGTTGTGCCGTAGTTGCCTCCTCGTCAGCGGTGTAACGTATAAATGGTTCAGTACGCTAAAAAGGAAGTGCAAAAACGAAATAAGAAGTGTATTGTATAAAATTTTTAACATATATGTTTACTCTAGCCAGTCGAGGTATAGGCAAGGTATCTTTTTGCAGAGTTTTCTGATATTCTTTAAATACTGGCCCTAAACGCAGTGAACCTCTGTAAATCCATTCAGTATGACTTTTGGGACCTTCAAATTGCATTTGTATTAAACTACAATCAATATCAACAACTCGAGCATATATCCATTTGCCGTTCGACTCAGTGGTCATGCTTTGTCCTTTTTGTGTTTGAACCATCGGCCGATTGATCGAATACTGCGTTAAATATTTTTGTATGAATTCGCGCGATGCTGGATGAACGTCCTCCCACACATGTTCGGAAACATTGCACACCAAACGAACATCTTTGTGCGAAACGTACTGTGTATAGCCATCGTCGTAGAATATTAAATAACTGAAATATTTAAATTTAACAACTCAAATGTTATATTTTATTATTTTATTAAAACAAAAAATACCGGTATTTGTTATTAGGTTTTAAAGGTTCAGCAATGATTCCTGGATAAAAAGCACTCTGTATCATCATCTTTTCTTTTCCACGTGATAAGGAGGTGGCATCGAAGTAAGCGATTACACGAGAACCTTTATTTAAATATTTAAAATTAGTTTAAGTAGTGGAAAACTTATATTAAGAATTGTTACCAATTGGGAGTCGAAATTTCGGTGGGTCAAAGTAAGCTAAATGTTTTGCCGACACAGTTTTAACCATCTGGTATTGTAGCTTTAAAAATTTCACTTTATAAATGGGCACTCTGTTATGCGCGCCTAAAATTGAGCTCGTATCCATTTGCTCAACAACTCTGCAAGGAACCCAACTGGCTATTGCTTTATTCTTAACCGCGTAATAAACTTGATTAATTTCTATGGGTGGGCGCATTATTTCACCTACCGGTGGACAGGGCTTAAAAATTATAAACAGAAGTAAAGTAATGCGACAGTATATTAAAAAAAAATGAAAGCGCTTACTGTTACTTCAGGAAAGTTATATGGCAAATTCGTATTCAAATCCAAAGGTTGAAACTGGCGCAGTCTAATTTTTGGGCATTGATAAAGTGAGCTGTACATTTGATCAGCCTTCTTCTGTAACGTGCGCAATAATTTATCATTTAAGTCCGATTCCACTTCAAGCCGACGAGCACGTGTCTCTAAAATTGTCTTTGACCATGTCAGCTGGCTTTGAATATCGAGCTTTTCAAGCACATTTTTGATGGAGTTTTCAAGTTCGGCTTCTACGAGGTCCAAACTGACTTTGGAGAAGGAACCTTTTGCCAAAAAAAAAAACATTATATAAAATATAAAACATACCATTCTGAATAACCTTTTTGCTTTAAATAAAGTGTTTTATTAGAAATATGCTTTCTATTTCATTTACTATCGTTCTGTGATGTGTAAAAATTATTTACACTTTAAGCTTTCGATATACAATTTACCTTTGCCTGTTTGAATTTGTTGCGTTTTGGACGTTTCTTCATCATCATCACTGCTATCGGTAATTTCCACGAACTCTGGTCCTTGTACCGTTATATTTTTCAAAAGTAGAGGTTGCTTTGCTTTTAATAAACCGCAATATTCCTAAGTAATTTTTTTATTTAATTAAAAAAAATTCTCTTTAATTGTATTATTAAACGAAACATATGTACTACATTATTTAACAACAGTTATGAGGGTTAACTAACCTCGTATGCGTCAAGTGCGCAGTCGAAACATTCCGAGCAAATAAATTGTTTTTGTGTGCGTCTTTTCTTTACTTTAAAGTGGCTTAAAGTAAAGGGGGGTGCTAAGAAAAATTGCTTATGATTGTGAGGGCAATCATGATTAACACACTCTTGCTTGTAAAATACTTCATCAACTGTGTCTTCGCAATTAGTTTGTTCAGAATTGATTTCATCCTGTGGTTCTGGTTGTAATGCAGTTAACTTCAATAAGTCTGGCTGCTCTGTTACTTCATCTTTATCAGATGGATCCTTCATGGCGACGTCTTCAATTACTCTTTCTTCCTTATTATCGTCATTAATTGTGTTTTTCCTATTATCATTAAATATCGCAGCAATTTGGGTGTCAGCTGCCGAAACGACGCTTTCGTCTTTTTTCTCACTAATTTGTGCAATCTTATTATCCTTATTTAGTTCATCCTCATCGTCATCATCGTCAATTTCAATGATTGGAATGTAAGATGGACTTCTTGTAGCAGTAATTTCCACATCAGGATCTTCCTCCGGTTTAGTCTCTTCATTTTCATCATCTATTTCAATTATATTTTCAGGTCGCGATCCATCTTCTGGTTTATCTGTATCCTTTTTATTGTGATCAATTTGTGTGTTCACACCGCAGCTGTTGTTTTCTATAAGCCCTTCTTCATTAATGCTATTAGTTGTTAGGCTATTCTTAGGTAGAGAGGTTGAAGGTTCGTCATTTTCATTCCCTTCTTTAGGTGAAGCAGGTTTTTCATCAATTACTAGTGGTAACGATTCTTGACTATCATCGTTTCCACCAAGATAATCCAAACTTTGAGTATCGACTTCCATTAACTCGCCTGTAGTATCGTTGTTTGATATATTTAATTCCAATACTTTTATTTCGGTATCCACTTTTTTTTCCGCGTTAGTCTCTATCTCTGCCTCTGTTTTTGATGTACTTTCAGGTATTTGATCTGTTAATTTATTGGATTTCGTATTACACTGTTCTTGTTTTCCAGATCCAATATCTACTTCTTCCGTTATGTCAACCCCTTCAACGTCACAAACCAATGCAGGGCTTATGCTTTCTTTTAATTCTATTTCACTTGTATTTTTCATATTTGGTACGATTTCTACCGTTTTTTCACGTATTTCTTCAATCGAATCATTGATATTTTCAATATTTTGGTTATCATTTTCATTGATTTGTTTGGAATCAATCACATGGGATTCGTCCTTTTCGACTGATTGACCACAGACTATTTTTTCTTCAACTCTATCTTCCAATAAACTTTCGTTTATTTTCACATCTTCTTCGACTATATCCATATTATCAGACATAATAATATTTTTTCTAATAATTCTACGATTAATATTGTTTGGTTTTGATTGTTAACACAATTAAGCGAAAATAAAAAGCCGCATAAACAAATGATATTAGAGGGCTGCCACACTGTTTATTAATGTCTGATGAGAAAAATTGTTTTTTACACTGTAAAATTTCGTTAGTCTTAATAACTAGAGCCGCTTTCTGAAAAAATTTTCCGCTCTGAGGAGTAAAACATAACATCTTTAACAAGTATGGAATCAATAAAATTTTTATGGAAGGCAATATATTGTTATCTCCTTAGTGCATTAAAAGTAATTTTGCAAGAGTGCTTACAAGAAGAAGACCTCGCGAAATCATATTACGTCCATTTCAAGTCGGCAATTCTTTCAGAGGGCTTGACATACACGCAATTAGAAAAATTAATTTTCTTTATTTCTATTATTATTACATAATAATTTTTATTTTCGCCGTAAATGTAAGAAATTGTATTAGTTTATAATCAAAGAACATAGATATTTGTCTAATGATTGTACCTAAAATTTGTCGGAAATTCCAGCACTGAGTGAGTAATTATCGAAATACTACCTTACCTAGAAATTTATATTGTGCATATTTATCGTTAAATTGTGATTCAAGTGTGAGAGGCGGATTTGAAGGAAACGCTATTATAACCGAGAAAATATTAAATGCAAAGTTTGAGTTGATTGCGTGGTATTATTCTGTGTGAATTACATAAAATTTGTTATAGAAAATAAGAAATTTAAATTTTTAGTTCGGATTTGAAACTTGCAAGTTTGGCTCTTATTGATTGTTGAAGTTACAGTAACATTACTTCTGTTAACATATTAAATAATCGACTAGCGCTATGCAGTATACCCCTTACTTGAGTAGTTATAATTAGTGTGCTTATATGTTTACTAACTTTTACTTCATTTGGCTCATAAATTTAGGACAAATTTAATTTTTCACCCCAATTAGACTGGCTTATTGATGCAACTCTACAAAGGTGTGTAGGTGCTTATGTGCGTTATGTATGCCAGGGTAAAATCGATTTACAACTGTCAGAATTTTTCTGTTTATCGATTTTGTGATAAGAGAATTTTGGAAAAGTTTTCTTCTTGAATGAACAGAATCACCATCCTAGCTCCGTTTTCCTAATTAGTTTTAACATTGAAGTTGTGTTCGGACGTGAAAAAGTGCACTGGATTTAAAAAATGAATTTAGACTTCGAGAAATTGTGCGGCAAGCACGCAGGCATTTATGAAGCATATTACAAACAGGTAAGATAAAGGGTGGACAGGGAAGTGTTTTTCCGTTGCGTATAACCACTAGTATAGCGGATACGCCTATTGATTTTTACTCAATTTTTTTTCAAGCTCGAGAATTAATTTGTGTTTGTTCTCATGTCTTCGTTATTCGTAATTGTAGATTGACCCTAAAGGTGCTGGTGCTATTGAAGCGATGACGGCAGCAAAATTTTTGAAAAAATCTGGACTCAGTGATGTAGTACTGAGCCGGGTTTGGGATTTGTCAGATCCTAACGGCAAAGGATTTCTTGATAAACCTGGATTTTTTGTTGCTTTGAAACTAGTATCACTGGCTCAAGCAGGTCAAGTAATAAATATGAGCAACATTTATACAGAAACACCGAATCCACCGAAAGTGGTGAGTATTAGGCTTCAAATAGCTTACACACAAAATCGAATCAATGCATTAAATTGGTAATAATGTTGAGTTTTTTTTATAATCATGAGTTGATTAGTCTAAAAATTTTTATTTGTTGTAATTCTCTTAACATTTTTTATATGTATGTGAACCTAAGTTCATGCCAAATACCCCTTATACCTTAATATATGTACCAAAATTGACGTCATTAAGTTGTAGATATATTATTGGATTTTACGAAATTTTGAAGGGTTATTAAAAATTTATTTTGTTTGTATACTTTAGGGGGACATCCCAAAAATAATACCACCTCGCACACAAATAGCACCAGGTGCAGGTGGTCCCGCTCAAAACACCGATTGGTCCATTAGTGTTATAGATCGTTTGAAATATGAGCAATTATTTGAGAGCTTGAAACCTGTTAATGGGATGTTAGGTGGTATCAAAGTGAAAAATGTGCTCTTAGAGTCAAAGCTGCCTACGGATGTTTTGGGAAGGATTTGGGATTTAGCCGATCAAGATAAAGACGGAAACTTGGATAAGCACGAATTTATTGTAGCCATGCATCTAGTCTATCAAACGTTGCAGAAACGTGCTGTGCCGGATGTGCTACCAGCAGAGTTACGTAAGCAGGGTTCTGGTGGTGGTCCTCCACCGAAACCAGGTCCTCCAGCTATAGTAAGTAATACTGCAACGATGCCGCGTGCACCGAGTGGTGAAGGTTTTGGCGACGGTGGTTTCGTAGCAAACTTTCCTAAAGACATAGCACCACCACCAGCTTTACCACCGCTGCCCGTTGCGATACCAACAATGACACGTGTTCCACCTGTCGGTGCAAGTGGTGTGCAATCCCAGCCACTTATATCAACAGATCCGCTTATACCTATTGGCGCACCACCTTCCGTAACAGCAAATGCTGACTGGGTTGTTAGCCCAGCTGAGCTGAAACGCTTTGAAATAACATTCCGAGAATCAGACCGGGATAGAGATGGACTTGTGTCGGGACTTGAGGTGAAGAACGTATTCATACAGTCGGGCGTCCCACAAAACTGTTTAGCGCACATTTGGTGAGTAAAATTTAAAAATAAATAGTAAACAAAGAAGAAAAGTATATAATGATTTGTAATTGAAAATCTACCACTTTGGGAATTTATAATGATATAATGATTTGTAATTAAAAATCTACCATTTTGGGAATTTATATAAGTTTACCATTTACAATTGAATTATTCATTTACAGGGCGCTATGCGACACAAATCAATCTGGCAAATTAACACTGGAGCAGTTTGCTTTGGCAATGTGGATGGTGGAACGTAAACAAAAAGGCATTGAACCACCACAAGTACTCACAGCCAACATGGTACCACCGTCTATGCGTAGTACTGTATCTGGCGTAGATTTACAACCACAAGTAATTAAATTTTGAATATCTTTCGCCATTATCAACACATAATTTACTCATTTATAGGAACCCAAACCGACATATTCTAATCCGGAGTTGGAAATGATATCTAAAGAAATTGAAGAGCTTGCGAAGGAGCGTCGTGCTTTGGAAACAGAAATCGCTCAGAAAGAAGCCGATATTCGCATAAAATCTGGAGAAGTTCGTAGTTTACAGGTATAAATTATACCTACATATGAATGTTGTTGAAAAACATATATGATAAAGTATGTTTATGATTTTAGAGTGAATTAGATACATTATCTGCCACCCTTAAGCAGCTAGAAAATCAACGCGGCGAAGCACAGAAACGCTTAGATGATTTGCAGGCACAGGTAAATTTATAATATTTTTTTGTGCTGATTTTATTGATTATAATATTATAAACATGAAAGTGTTTTTACAGTTGATTTCCTGCATTTGTTTACTAAAATTTTATTTAAATTAAATTAGAATTCATTTTTTTACTTCTTTTATATGTGATTATTAAAATAAATTTTGGTGGACACATTTTTATATCTACCATCGTCGTAAGTGTATGCTTTCCTCTCCTTTGCACACACCAACTATTTCCACTACCGAAATCTACCAAATCATTTGCATTATTATTCGAAATTGGGTGAAAACTAACAAAAATGTCATTAGATAGCAGATTTCCCGAGGATTATGTTTAGTGTGAAAGTAGATATAGAACAGGTTGGATATCAGGTCAGTTTTTATAATTTTTCTTCAATTGTTTTGTTTTTGTTTGTTTCATGAATTTGGTTTTATGGTACATTGTATTTGTATTGATGCTTTAATGTTTTTTTTTTTTACACTATTTAATATATTTTTGTTTTTTGTAAGAAAACTACTAAGCCAAGTTAATTAAATATTATTGTAATCGTCAACTGGGTTGGAAATTATTACGTAGTGTTTGTCACCGTTAGAAATATGTTTTTAAGAGTAATATGTACAAACACATACATGTATATATAATGTTGTTTAAGGTACTTCTGTGGAATTGTGATTGCATTTTTGAATACACTAAAAATGTATGTTTTATTTCAGGTTAGAAAAATACGGGAGCAATGTCAGAAACAGGAAGAAACTATAAATGAACAAGAAGGTGAACTAAATACCAAGCGATCAGAGTTGCAAAAGCTTAAAGATGAAGAAGCAGCATTGCAAAAGGAATATGATCAAAATAATCGTGAATTGCAGAAACTAACACAACATTTACAAAATACACAATTACAAATAAGTTCAGTAAGTAGCGCAAAATCAATTAAAAAATTTGACATTATAGATGTTGATTTCTCTATTATCCAATGCAGGTTCGCTCTATGGTTACGCAATTGATGGAAGTTCAACGTCAAATGACTGATGCTTTGTTGATGTGTCGCGCCGCCATCTCCAATCAAGACGCTGAACTTGTATCCGAATATCAATTAAAAATTGAACCAGATTTGAGTGAAGCACGTAAAACGCTTGAAAAGAAAATTGAAGAACCTAAAGCGGATGATCCATTTGAAGATGCAACGGCAACGAAAAATACAAACGGATTCGTCAATAATAGTTTTAATAATGATCCGTTTGCGGCTAATAGTGGAAATCCATCTGCTGGTCGTGGTGGATTTGATGAGAGCTTTACGAGTGGTGGCGGGTTCGGTGATAGTGGATTCGATGCATTTGGTAGTAATAGTGGTTTCAATCAAGAAGCAAAGGATCCATTTGGTGGTGATGCATTTGGAAGTGCAAATAAACCCAGTAACGCAGTAACACCCGATGTACGTACAATGCGCTCTTTTTAAAATAGTTTAATATATATATATATACTTTTCCTTTTTTTTTATCAGCCGGGTAAAGATGACTTTGGCAGTGATCCCTTTGCCGCTTTACATGCACCAACTGGACAAGGGCAGGTGCTAAGCCCAAATGCACAAAAATCTGGACCACCGCCAAGGCCTGAATCGCCAAGCCCAGCATTACCACCAAAGAAATCAAAGGTTCCACCACCACGTCCGGCACCACCACGTCCAATGCAGGTGATTAAGATTGAAAGTATACGATGTAAAGTAAATGTGTGGTGTATTTTAAATTATTGCGAATATATGGATGCGAATAATCGAAAATAATACCTTATTTTTTCTAAAACTTGTACATTTAGCATTAATTTAATTTTTCATTTTACAGGGACCTGCTAGGCCAGCTCAACCAGCTGCGGACGCATTTGGTTCCAATGCATCTAGCGGAGGTGGTGGCTTTGCTGATTTTGCAGATTTCGACAATAAGGTTGGTAGCAATTTTACAGTACGGTGGGATCGTTGGTAATGCATGCATGCCACACTGGCACTCGTAATTAACATATTCCTTAAACATATACCACAGTAAAGCACCCTTTTTTCCTAACATTTTTAACACCGTATTTTAATACTTACAACATTAATTTTTTTTTACGATACTTTTTTTAAGACGTTGTTGATTTTGTTAGTTTTGTATAACTATTTGCTAACCAATAAAATGTTTTTTTAATTTATTTATATTTATTTAGTTAAAAAAAAAAATATAACCCAAAGGCAATTATGCAAATTCTTTTTTTTTTCATTTATAGCTTGAATAAGAGTTAATTAACGACACAACAAATAGTTTTTTGAGTTACTTAAAAGTATTGCTTCAATAATATTGCTCAAACTTTTTTCACAGGATAAATGTGCATATATATATATATATATATATATTTTTTTTTTTTTTAATTTCTGCCTGTGACTTATTTTCTTAGTTCTTTTTTTATTACTGTAAAATACAATACAAAGATGTTTGATATTAGTCATTTCTGTTCGATTTTTCATTCACTTTTTACACAGTTGCGTTTAACTTACCAATTTAAAACTAACAATAAGCTTCCATTTTCTGAAACTCTATTTACAGTGAACATCATATATATATATATCAGTCACGTTTATATAAAGAATAAGTGAAAGTTATTTAACTATAAGTGTTTTTTCTTATCAAAAAAAAAAAAACGAGAAAAGCAAAAAAAAAATAAACAATTAAAAGATAAACCATTGCATACCATTACACACGCATTAAACCACATGCATATATATATATATATCTACTTAGAAAATGAAAAGGGAATGAAACTAGTTTTATTAACTAAAAAGTCGTTAATACTCTTAGTTAATTTAAATATAAATTATAATAATATAAAAATGAGTCGAAAAGAATTCCAAAACAATTATAGGTAAATTGTATTATGAAAGTAAATAACAAAATAGTATTCAATATTATCATAATCCCGCTAATATTTAACATATTACACTCGTTCTCGTACCTCTAACCAACAAATCTATTGCTATTCATTGTCAATAAAAAGGCGAAAAGCTATACTTTGAGTGTTATAAAAATACGTACATATGTATATGTGTGTATGTATGATTCTTTTTTGCAAAGTTATAATGAGTAACTACAAAACAAGTTTGTATGAGTTAATTTAATTAATATTATACTAAAAATATACCGTTTTTCACGCCATGTAGTGAGAGGAATTAAGATGCGGAATTAAGTTGGGAAAAGCTTTTTCGTACAAAAAAAAATTAATTAAATGAAAAATAAAAAATAATACAAAAATTAAAAAAAATACACATTCCATGTATTATTTAAAAAAAAAAAAACATTTACTTTGCTAATTACCTATAAGTATTTTAAAGTTGTTGTTTTTAACTTTTTTTTTGATTGGACGATTCTAATTCACTATATGGCTTTGAAAAACCATAACTATACATTTTTTTCCGTAAATTAAATGAAAATTAAGTGTTTAAAAATTTTTATGATTTTTAACTACGTAATTGTTACTGTTAAATGCAAGTATTAGAAAGTATATTATACTTGAATACTGAAATGCAATATATAGAAATATTTTCAATCATTTTTAATACAATATATAAACTTATATATATGTATAAATATATACGTTTATATGCATACGACATAACATATTTAGCAAAAAAAAAAAAAAAAAATGGACATCAGTACATTCATACATATGTAAATGTTTTACAAATGTATTTATTAAGAGTCAATTTAACAGTACGGTACAGTTAAAACACCCGCAAAAGTTTATCTACTGATCTTAAGAAAATAATAAAATAGAACGTTGAAATTTTGTTAGCATTACTAAGCGTGCTCTGAATAAAGTCCCAAATATAAACAATTAAGTTCTTATCTTTAAAATATAGTTAAACTTTAAAATAACGTTAAATGGCCTTTGCTAGAAATTGTTTGTCTTAAGTGTTTGTTGGGAAAGAAACTGTCACCAGGCTCAGTATTGTGTTGTTATGATCGCAAAAATATTTTCCAAAGTACTTTTTGGGGAATGTTGCGGGAGTGACAGTCTTTGGCGGGATAAAAATCCGGATCGTTCCGGTACAAAGACCCGACTGTCTCGAGAACTATTGGGTTTTAGTCGCCTTTTACCACGGACATGCCTTACCACGGGTAAATTCTTGTGCCCCTAAACCGCAGGGACAGTCGGAACTCCATTAGTGGTGATTATTTTATCACCTGGGGATTTTTCTTTTTCTACATTCTTCTCTTAAATAATTTATATATGTACATAAATTAATATATTCATTTATATATTTGTAAATTAGAAATCATAACATTCAATATTCTTTTCGTTTGTTCATGAATTCTGAATTTTCCCAACCAAAAAGAAAGGTATAGGTATGAATTCTAATATCCTCATCATGAGATGCACAGACTCATTTTCACAAAACATCTACATATGTATGTATATTAAACCCTGAATGTGCAAGCAAACCTTTATCTAAGCGTTAAAGGCGTTCACTACTTATTATTGTATTGTATTGTATGTTACAAAACGAACTATAGCCGCATATTGAAAAACAAAAATTTAAAGAATTACATTTAGAAAAAAAAAAAAAAAATTAAAATTAAAAAAATACCTAATACATATGTATGTATATGAACATTGAGAAAATATGGAATTATTAAAAATAACTTATGACTATTAATATGGCAATGGTGTAAAAATGCAATTGATGGTATCATTTCACCAACTATTGAAAAAAAATATAATAAAAATAATTTATGCGAAATTGTTGCTTCATAAGTTGTTCTTATTGCTTTCGGGGTTTTAGTTTATTTTCCAAATAAAATTTGTATTTGTGAAATGATTACATTCGCTAGTACTTAAGCATTAGAAGATCTATATGCAAGTAAGTAAACTTATCTTAACTTACCTGTGCTGCGGTTTTGGTGCCTTTAGTTTATTTATTTATGTATATTTTCTCTATACACAATAATTTTATTTATTTTATGTATGTAAAAGTAAATATTTCGCATTTTATGTATTTCATTATCATTTATTAGCTTCGATTGGTTTGGATGCTTTTTGTATTTTTTGATGCACTTTTGATTATTTGCAATCTTGCATTTTTATTGCACATACATAAATACATATTGTGAAATTTATAATTTATGAATACATTTTATTTTAATTATTATTTTTTTACTTATTTCGAATTGGTTTTGTTCCTTTTTTTTTTGTTTTCATTTACATCTCCTCGAACGCACCCGCGCTCGTTCCTCGTTCGCTCTATTGCACACAATCAATGGTGATTGAACATTAATTTGTTGATGTGAAATATGGCTTTAGGTCTCGTGCTTTCCACCGGCCATAGTAGCATTACCTCCACAATTAACAACTCCACTCGCGTCACATCACACAGCAAGCAGTCACATCAGTAGTTCTTCATTTGACATCAACACAATAACCACAAATAGTGTCACATCTGTCACAACTACATTCGTAGCGACATCTGCATCAGTTCAGAGTTTTCCAAAGCCAGTATATACATTAACGGCAATTGCAAACAATTCCAACTACTCATCTACTGCGTCCACTTCGTCTGTAACCGATCATTTAACGCGTTCAATCACACCACTGCAACAGGCGTCCGTTTTAACATCATCGCTATTTGTCAGTAAACCAATTGATGCAGCAGCAGCAGCAACAGCAGATACGCTTGGGAAGAGTGCACGCGAAAGTCGTGCATCCATTATAAGCGGACCAACAGACTTTTCAGATGATCCATTCAAGGACTATCGTTATGAAGATCCATTTAGTATTAAAGATCCATTTGCCGATGATGAAGAAGTGGATATCGATCCAGAGAAGGTCTTCAAGGACGATTTCTCGGGTGAGTTTGTAATTAATTATTATTGTTTAGTATGCTTATATAAAAAAAAATATCTCTGAAGAGTTGATGATTTCAACGAATTTACCGTTTTAATATCTCCATATTTTTAAGATGATGATAAAACCAAAACTGCAACTAACAATTTTAAGATTCACAACGTTAACACACAAACAAACGGCGGTGGACAGAAAGCGGCAATATCTGTTAGCTCCGAGTTTCTTGATCAATTTGATGCGTTCAATTTAAATCCAAGTCCCGTACCTTCAACACAATCGTCAACATCTGGCGGTTTAATCGGTACTGGTTTTGGTAGTAGCGGTGGCGGTGGCCAGAGTAGTATTAGCAGCTCAAGTAAAAAATCAGATAGTATTACACCAATACCCTCTAGTACAGTAGATGCGGTTCTTGATGGTGATGCTAATAATTTATTTGATGAATTTGCCAATTTTGATGCATTTGCTAGCTCGAAACCAAAACCGGTTACTGGTGCACGATCTTCTTTGGGTGAATTGGAGGCTGCCTTTAAAAGCAACAGTTCTCAAGAACCAACAAGAAAGGCAAATGATTCGTTCTTCGATGCTTTCAATGATAATTTCGATAACAATTCTAATCGTGAAGTGTTGACCACTTCGTCTGCTATGAAGGCGAATTCAAAACTTTTCGATCCATTTGGTGACAGTAAGACAAATTTAGATGCATTTGACGCTTTTGGTACATCGAAAAGTGACAATGAAAATATGAAATTAACAAAATCATCTAAAGTGTTTGATGCCTTTAATGATAATACGTTTGAGGATGATTTCTTTAAAGCAAAAGACAACAATGCAAATACGAACTTTAATAAAAATGGGGACAGAACAAGAGCAATAACATCACTTAACGATTCTATTAACGATGATAATTTCGCAAAATTCGATGCATTCGTTGATAGTCATAATTTTACCAACGATTTTGATACTGTTTTAAACAATTCCATTAGTTTAACAAATAACCAAGAAAAAACAATTCCAACACCATCTAAAGATACCCCGGGCGCAACTGGTTTGACGAAAGTACAAAATGTCACAACACTAGCTAAGGTTTCAAATCCAGATGTGGCTTTCGCTGCAAGTGGCGTCGACGGCGGCGAACACAATGAAAAAGTCGCAGAAAGATTTGCAGCCGACTACTCAAAGGCGGATACATTCGAGTTGGATTTGCAAGAGGCAATCAAGCGCAGCATGATGGAAAATTAAGATGGTTCGAAGAAAATTACATTTAATGTACTGTAGTGTTTGCTTAATCCGTTGTTATAAATATTATGTAAAAATAGTAATATTATTACGCCATAATAATAATGGAAATTAGACATAACTAGAAATACGAACATAGTTCGTTCAACGTTTCACACGAAGGTGATAAATCTCTCATTCTTATATGATATCATTAACGTTTTTTGCTCAGTTTGTGTACTCAATTTTATGTACAATTTAAAAACTAATTTACTCATTAATGCATACTTATATTAAAAAATAAAAACTTATTTGCATAGAATTAAATTTGTGTTTAGTTTAATAGATGTTCTTTTGTAAACTTTGATTTCACTATTAAAGAACTGAATCGTGCGTGTAAAAATTGTCACTCGCTTACTGTGCTTAATATTAATTGTTGATCAAAACTTTAAATCTCGTAAATAGCGGTATATACATATGTACATATGTACCAACGTCGAAAATACATACATAAATATATGTCATAGTATTCAATATTTTAAATATTTTTCTATAAAAATGTAGATAATTCAAAAAGTTTATTTCATTTTCGACGTTTGGCATAATATTTTTTTATGTTCAACCATTATTATTATTATTAACCATATTATATATTGAAAAATTCCAGAATTAAAATAACTGTATTATTTACCTTATTAAATAGTTTATGCTTCTGTAGTAATATGAAAAACTTATAATTTACTTGAATATATCTAATAAAAAATGGCGAGAATGCTTATATGCGTATACACACATATATAAATTACTGTTAAGGTTTTAATATAAACGAGTGGGCATACCAGATACTAATTGGTACATTGTAACAACTGAAATGATTTTCGGTTGAGATCCTCCTCCAATTAGTGGATTGCTTCTTGGTGTTTTTACAACATGTCAGAAATAAACTAGGAGAGTTTGATATTACCGGCCGAGGGGTAACCGCAATTTGAAAAAATAATTTTTTCTATAATTTTGGATTTGGGCTGAACCAGGACTGTAACCTTGGCTATTGGTGCCGCTTAAAACCAACTAATTTGCATAGGTATAGAGTACTGCACTGGAAACCGGTTCTCGATTCAAAAAAATAACTCGTCTCTAATTAGAACGCCGCCGGTTTTGTTGTTGAATGATCAGCTGTTCCGGTGGCCTCCAACCCAAATCGGAATCATGGTGAAATACAAATATTGCACCATTATTGATAATAAATGGTTTACAGGGTAATACGAATATATCGACTTTTTGGGTGTAAAATAAACCGATTATCTGTCCTACTTTATTAAATTATGTTTAAATTCCTGAACATTTGTTCAAAATATGCGGTTTATGTTTATTAATTTTTGATATTTTTTAAATAAAACTAAAAAAAAAAACATTAAATAATTTTATGATATAGTAGTTACCCTGCTGCCAGCACAACCTACAAATCAGGTAACAACATTTTGCCAATTCTCAGCTGTAATTTGTTGTATATGGTCGAAGTGTTTAAATTTAGTCCTATTGTGACTTTAGCAAAATAAATTTAAACTAAATTGAGGCTTGTTCCAAAGTTGTGAAATAAATGTAAATTATACTTAGCACAAGGTACAATTAATAATTATCAGCTATAAGTATTTGGTTTATTTGCCTTGTTGGTGGACGTTTAGTGGAACCTAGAAATGGCATCAGCCAAAACATCAACTTTAACCCCCAGGAATTATGAATATGATTGCACTCGTAAATGTCGTCTTGTACACCATGGAAGCCAAATTAGTGCGGCACTAACAAAACGTACAATATCAGATGAGCAACTTGCTGCTTTTATTGCAAAGACCTGTGCTAATTTCATGGATATAGTGGATGACTTGGTAATAAAATTGTATATTTATATAAAACAGTTGAAATCTATTCTAATAATGAATTCTCCAGGGTCGTTCCGCAGTGCACTTAGCCGCATCTATGAGTCGTTACGAGATTTTAGAATGGCTGCTAAACCAGGTACATTATAATAATTGTTTGCAAGCAAATGTTTCATTCTTTTATATTTAGGGAGCCATTATTAACGGTCGTGATTGTGAATCCGGCAGCAGCGCACTTCATCGTTCAATATATTACGGCAGCGTTGATTGTGCGGTTTTGTTGCTGCGCTATGGCGCAAGTCCAGATCTGTTGGATGAGGACACACGTTGTGCTCTTCAAAACGTTTGCCGACCAGCTGATTTTGGAAAATATAAAGATGTGTGAGTAATAGCAATACAAAAGCCAATTATAAATATTAGCTTGGATATATTTTGCAAATATCCTTTTTTCGCCAACATAGAGCCAGCAATAATGAAATCTTACTCTGGGGTACCAATAAAAACTATAACTTGGGAACTGGTAATTCGGAGCCAACTAATACGCCACAGTCAGTAGAATTTTTTCGCAGGGAGCACATATCAATCAAGTCAGTAGCGCTTGGTGCATATCACAGTCTATTTTTAAATAAGAGTGGATTGGTCTACGCCGTTGGACACGGAGAGGGAGGACGTTTAGGTTAGTATTCATATACATGGGAATATGAATGTAAATCGATGTTATATTAAAAACTTTTCTTTTTTAAATAGGAAATGGTAGTGAACACAGCCTTGCTGCACCTAAAAAAGTGAAAGTACCAATTAAAGGCAATGGTGAACATGTAATAGCCATTAGCGTCTCTCGAAAACATTCTTTATTGCTAACGAATAATTCTACGGTATTTGCTTGTGGCTTAAATGAAGATAAACAATTAGGTGTTCGTGATGTTGGCGAGAAATTGTCCGTATTTCGCGAAGTATTAACACTGCGAGATCTAAAAGTCACAGATTTGAAGCGTGTAATTGCTCGCGACTATCACTCAATTACCTACTCAAACAAATGTGTTTATATGTGGGGGGCAAATCACGGTCAAATGGGTTTAGATAATAGTGTAAAGGCTGTGCCTATGCCAAGACAAGTATATACAAGTTGATGAATTACTAATTTCGGTAATTAACTTACTATTTTTTTTCCAGCTGAAATTGCCACTGGGAACTGAAATTATTTTTGTTGAAGCTAATAATGCAGCAACTGTTGTTTACACTAAAGATGACAATATTTTACTATATTTTAATAACAAAATGCGTACAATTAAACCACCAAAGTAAGTTTAAGCTTAATTACCAAAAAATATTCAATTAATCCTATGTTTTTTATAGCTTTGAATCCTTGAAAAGTATCTGTGTTTTTGGTGGCGATACCTCGAAGTCTGGTAAAGGCACTGCTACCGCTTTGAAACTGCTTATGCTTACAGAAACCAATGTAATTTTCTTTTGGTATGAAATGACGCAACAGTTCTACAGGTTTGTTAAAAATGAATCGCTTGATTTCCTTATAAATATCTATAGTAAATCTATGAATTGGTAAGCAAAATTCTTTTTCTTCTCTTATGCCTTATAGATGTAGTTTTTCGAACATAAGAATCACTCAAATAGATAAGATACTCTATAAAGCCAATCAAGTGTTCATACTCTCGGATGGTGATGTCTACAAAGGCAAGTGCCAACAGGTGCCCGTACCGTCTTATATGACAAAAAGCGAAAGTCAAAAGCATCCTTCATCCGCAGCTAATATATGGAGCAGTTGTAATCAGAATAAGACAGAAATCTGCAAGGATCATATGATACGAATTGAACTGCAGAGATATTCCAGCGTAGACCGCGCAGTTGATATAAGCTGTGACGAAGATTTCACATCCTTTGCCGTATTACAGGAATCACATTACAAATATTTTAAAGCTCCTTATTTGCATGCAGAATCATATAGTTTTAAGAAACTGTACAATGATGTGGATATATTTGATGCTGTACATGATGTAGTGTTTCATGTTGACAGTGAAACTTATGCTGCACACAAATTTATTATATATGCTCGTGCGCCGGGTCTGGGTGATATTTTGAAATCCTATGAAGATAAAGAAATCTATTTAAATTTCAAACTTTTGACTGGGAAAATGTTTGAAATAATATTAAAGCATATATACACAAATCAGCTTCCGAGCGAAGAAGGTAAGGGATATACATACATACATGTTTAAATATATTTCTTTCGTAAATATATATTTGCTTAATAATGAATTCATGTGCTTACTTTCAGACTTTGACAATATACAACACAGTTTAGGCCCGGATTGTCCAACTGATGGTGGTGATGTTTGTAAATTGTTTTTAAAATATGTTGAAAAATTCAAGCTTCCGAATTTAGCAAACTATTTAAAAAGGTTAGTTCACTTTATAACAAACAAATGTTTATCATAAAAGTTAACGCTCTATTAATTATTTAGCTATTTGCTAAGGTCCCCATTTTATTTACCACAATATCCTGATAAGTCCGTTTGTCGTTTTGATCGTTTACATCATGGTGACTTTCCAGAGCTATATGATGTACGCATTATTTGCGGAAACGATGTGGTTATACCAGCGCACAAATGCATTTTAGTTGCGCGCCTTGATTACTTCAATATGATGTTCACACACACCTGGGCGGAACAGAGCACTATCAATTTGAGCACAATACCGCCGGAGTATATGCAACCTATTGTAGAATTCCTATATAGTTCTGAAGTTGAGCACTTTCGCAAGCAAAATTATTCGGAAGCATTTTTATACAACATGATTGTCTATTGTGATCAATTTTTCATAGAACGTTTACGTAAAGTGTGCGAAATTATGATATTAGATAAGATATCTATACGGAGATGTGGAGAAATGTTAGATTTCGCCTGCATGTATAATTGTGAACTCATGAAAAGGGGTTGTATGGATTTTATTTGCCAAAATTTGGCAAGAGTATTAAATTATAAAAGTTTGGATATCTGTGATCCTGATGCGCTGAAATGCATAAATAAGCACTATAGACAAATGTATAGTGAAGTATTTGATTATCGTGTTATTACCCCGGATTCTGGAGCCGTTGACGATGAATTATTGATGAGCTTTGTCAGTGATTTTCATGTGGATCTCAACTATCGCATGGATGAAGATGAAGTGAGTTAAATATTAAGATATTTTGGCAATAGAATTGAGCTAATTGCGAAAATATCTTTTCTTTCCTTACCTATTTACATATGTGTTTTTAATCTTGCTTTCAATTTAAATTGAAAAAATTAAAATTTGCATTTAAATCACTTAGGATGCCGTTCATAAGTCAGCAGCCAAACTTAAGTCTAGGGAAAACAAAAATAACATGAACTCTAAGCGGCAATACGAACTTGAGGCTATATCTTCTATGTTAGAATCCATAAATGTTGACGAGAAAAATTTAAAATCACCACAAGAGACTCAATCCAAATCGACGAAAGAAGCTGCAGATGTTGCAGAAAAATTACAAGCCGAAGCAAGAAATTGGATGAAGGTTGCTGATAAGAAAGATCTCAAGAAACGGCAAACACTGGAAGGTTCACTTAAAATCAACGAAATACTAAAAGCCGAAGAGAAACCAATAATTGAACTTGTGCCCTTAACTAAGATGCATGGTGAGGCTACAACTGCCAAAACATCAGAAAAACCACTGCCAGAAGATCCAGCAAGTGTGACACCCGTCAAAGGATATAGTTTAAATCTAGCCGACTTCACATCGCCACCATCACGTGAGAAACTCTCGCAGAAACAACGTAAGCGTCTCTCATCCGAATCGACGCAATCTTGGCGTGCGCCGGCACCAACAGATAGCAAACCTGTCAATATACCAGTAACACCACCGAATGCCTGGGGCGTTGTGCCACAAGCTTCATCAAGTGCTTACTCTGTGTCACCGCCTACGGGCAGTATAAGCGATCCAAGCTCTTTCGCCAATATGATGCGTGCTGGTAACAGTAATGTCCATAATAGCAGTCCACAAACTGCTGACAACAGTTTTTCACGGATTTTAGCCGATGAACGAAAACAGCGTGATTATTATGAGCGCATGCGCAATAAATCATTGGTACTGACACAAATTGAAGAGCGTGCAATAGCAGAGCTACGCGAATTTTACAATGTTGACAATGTAACAGATGAAGAAATAGTTATCGAGAGGAAAGCATTAGCACCAACGATGAATTTCGCTGTTTGGCAAAGACACTAATAGAAAGTAGATACTAGGGGCATTACTTAAAGTAGAAAAGTATGAAACCCAGGTCTAGGTAAAATTTGCGGCAGAATAAGAAAAAATTTGCTTTACTCAATATTTGATTATTTCGTTATATATATATATACATACCTATGTTTTTATAAAAATATTGTAAAAATTCGTAAAAATTTCAACTTAATTTAATTTTTCTTTAAATATTTATTTTAATTATGGACAAACAATATTTTATATTGTACATATATGAATACGTTAAAAATTTTGTAAAAGCAACAAATAGCACATACATAGAATATTTGAAACAAACAATTATCTTAAGTTAAATAAATAGTTTTTTTTTAGCATATTTAAAATTGTTAAATACAGATAAAGGTACCATAATGAGGCATTTACGACTATATACATACATAACATTTAAAATAAAGTGTAAATTTTTTTAACCAAAACCACCTATTGATTACTGTTAAATAAACAAGGAAATAATTAAAGGGAAATTAACAAAAAAAAAAAAAAAAAATAGAAATTATATAGAATTTAAAAAAAAGGAAGCATTAAAATTAAACAGAATATAAAAAAAATAATGTAATGAAATTAAAAAAAAAAAATTAGAAATTATATAGAATTTAAAAAAACGAAGCATTAAAATTAAACAGAATATAAAAAAAATAATGTAATGAAATTAATATAAAAAATAAATAATTTTTTCTTAAAAACAAAAAGCTAAAAACATTCTTTGCGGAATGCAAATCCATACTGATCGCACTTGTAGCGTAACGTCTTGCCCAGCTGTGGTGGGCCACAGTAGAAAACAGTCACTTTGCCCTTCTTCTGCGCCTGCAACTGTTTGAAAACCTTATCCCAATTCGGTCGCCCGGCATTTGTGCGTGTTTTGAGGCCAGTGATGAGATCACGCTTGCCCTGTAGTACCAGTTAAAAGTGATAATTATTAAATTATCATAAAATACAAAATATATTATAACAAAATCTAAACCTTTTCATGTAGTAAATCTAAAGCCAATTGCAATCCAACCGCTTTCATATCGGTGCGCTGCAATGCACTTGTTATATACATATGCATGTCCAGGAATCTGCAAACAGTACAGTGTTGCAAAAGAAACTTCTTTAATTTACAGCAAATTGAGAAAAAACCACATTACCTCTCCATTGGGCCACCCAACTCGGCCTGTTCGATTTCCAACTGTGATAACAAATTAACAAACCACTCAAAAGACCGTTGATCCCGGTTAATCCAAAAGAAATCCACTTTGCGTAAATTCATCACCGTTTTCGGTATATCGCTTGCCCACTCAAAGTGGCAGCGCGGGCAGGTGTGTCGAGCCTTCCAGTAACGATGCATTATCGATTGTAAAATCGAGGCGAACGGTGTGACACCAATACCGGTTCCAATGAGTACGGCATGTTGAGCACCAAATATATGACTGGATGGTGCACCATATGGTCCGTCGATGAAAATCTTTGTCACGGAAAAAGAAACAATCAAACAATCAATTATCTTTAAAAAAAAAAACTTGGAAAATATCACAAAAATATATATATGTATATTATATACAACTACCAAACCTCTAATACGCCCGCATCTAGTGTAACCTTGCTACCAGCGTTATGGTTGCCCTGTGGTGGTAAACTGCCATGGCTACCGCGATTTTTGATGGATGTTGAGAGGGAACGCAAAAATGTCGGCCTACGAAAACGACCAACTTTAGTGCGTGATGATGAATCCTTTTGGAGATGGGAATTCGAAACATAATTTTGTTTTTTAGTTTAGAATATTCAGAGCCGATTGGAAATTTAGAATGAGCGTTAATATTTAATGTTTGTGTATGTGTGTGTATATAATATCAAAAAGCATGTTTTTTTTTATAAAATATTTTCGTGAGTTCTAATTACATGAGAGAATTAGTACAGCGCTTTTATAGTCCGCGGTTAGTATTAGCGACACGTTCATATCTTCAATGTAAATAAATTTCATCATAATGGGTAAATTGAATACACACAACGGCCAAAAGTACTTAAATTTATACCTTTGCTTGGTAAATGACAGCCTTAAGCCTCACGGAATTCATACAAATTATGCTAAAAACTCAGAGAAATCACATTTTAGAAAAATTATGCAAAGAGATGGTTTGTATATCCGGCATGATATCGAAAATACGAGGCATTGTCCAACACCGCCAAGGTGTCGGGAGGTTCAGTAATCATGCTTTTTCGGGAGACGAGCTGGTTTTAAAAGGACGTACATACGTCAAGCTTGCATACGTAGGAGTTGAGTCTATAGTATCCAGATCTTATTTGTGCCAATCGAGCCAGCTCTCGCCGAGTACTAATACTAAATTAAGCAACCCGCGAATGCTCAAGAAAGAAAAGGGCTGTATGAAGTGTTAAATTTCTCGTGGCATTAAAAATGTAAATCACAAACCAGTCGCCAAATATTCAGTAGTACAGTTTATCGTCTCAATTTCCGTAAGATAACTCGGTTTGACGGAGGCAAAAAGAGCTCTTCGTCAGCAAAAGTTGGGCGTCGGGCATTAATATCGCCATTAACAGATTGGATATAGATTGATTTTGAATGATTGAATGTCTTTGCGTCTAGCGGTTCTGTTAAGTATTGACGTAGTATATATACAAGGTGCGGCTGATTGGTACGCGACCTAAAGTGATTATTAAAACAAATATACATTTTAATGGTTTTTATTTTTCAATATAGTTCCCCTCAAGTGGTATACACTTTTCACATCGTGAATGCAAGGCATTTATACCATTGAAAAAATATTATTCAGATTTCTCTTCAAAATGGTTTTTTGCAGCCGCTTTCATCTCACAGTCGTCTAAAAATCTTGGTCTCCTTAACTACTTTCCGGACTGTTGGTGAATTTTTGTAAATTCATTTGCTTTTAAGACATATCTCGCAACCCGAGCGGTGTGAACGAATGCGTTATCTTGAAGGAACTGCACTCCCCGCGCTAATTAGGCACGTCTCTTCCGTATAAGTACCTCACGCGCCAGACCCAACAAATTAGCGTTATACTGGCCACTCATTGTAGTTCCCTATCCCAGAAAATAATCCTCGACGCCGACATTTCAATTTTGAATTGTTATTGGTGACCCTTCCACTTTTTTATGAACTGCACCGACTCCTGTTATCATACTGACGAATCCAAGTAGATGAGTTACAGTGAGATTGAAAATTTCTTCCAAATCATCTTGGCACAATCTTAAAAAGTCTTTACAATTCTCCAATCGTCGCTACTTGCCGAGCGGCGTGAGCATTCGCGATACCCAACGCGCACTAATTTTTTTATACTCAAACGTCTCTCCATTTTCTTCACCATCGTATGAAGAGGTGCTCGAAATTGCGGGAATTTCCAGTTTCCGTTGACATAATACCGTTGCTTGTTTCAGGAACGAAACTTTAGTGAACCTCATAAAAAGTTCTGTTATTTATACTAATAATGAATTCCGCAATCGGCATTATCAGTGATGAGATGATGTGTCTTCTCTAACTATCTTGGGTAGCGAAAAAGTCAGCTGCACCTCATATATATGTATAGTCTGCGTAGTTTTGCACTTTCTCTCTGTGCCAGTTCTGCTTGAAGTTTAAAGTGCCTGTATGTACTTCAGGTGATACCGCCTTCAAGGTATTACGTTACTCTCCTTAGCCGAGAGAATAGATGGAAAGGTAGTGGTGACCTCAGTAAGATTTATCTTAGGGTCTTCAAGGCAGCGTTTTCACAAATCTGCAGTTTCCTCACTAGTCACCGGTTTCCAGATCGGTGACTCATGATTTATAACCTGCGGGTTGATTGTCTTGTAAGTTTCCAGCAACCTTTCATCATTGCTTCAAGTGCTGCCGGCCACCGATTAGAGGATTTTGCTTGGGCTCTGTACCTCAGTGAAATTTTCTGTACAGAATGTAGAATATAACTTTCAGCAACTTTAGGCTCTTACTAATTGGATATTTTACGTCCACGACGGTATAATTCAGATATAGTCCTTACTCCTTGCTTTGGTGGTAAACAGGATTGCCGCTGATTTTGCGGATGAAAATTTTAGGTGACTGGAAAATGAAAGGTCGAGATACCTCATGACCTAGGCGTGTAAAATAAGTATTACTGACAGTGACAGGGATGTGGGATATGTAGGAAAATGGGCATGAGAGGGAGTTAGGGCACCTCGTCCATTGGAACCTCCCATTAATGCTAATCACGCGATTTAACAGATTACAGCTGAAGGAGCTTCCATTCAGGAAAGTCCATGATAAAAAAGAACCGACTAAATATAATGCTAATGACGCTAAACGGGAGTATGTCAATAGCAAGAGCAACTCCCACCCTTCGTGTAGAAGAAAAACCAATTTTACAGGTAAAACAATGATTCCAGAAGATATTGGATTAGTAACTCTCGGTCGATAGAACCCAATTGGCATGCAATTTTTAACTGCTTAATGGTATGTTAAGTTAAAGGCGACTCTACTGAACTTACTTCTAGAGGCTTGGATACGCTCTCTTCTGGGACATCTAATACGGTGCTTATGGTTTTGTCGACTCCATTGCCTAAAAAACATAAAGACAAATGCGAATAGTAATAAGAATATACCGAGCGTTTATGTAAAAAGGTTATGTTGAATGAAAATGGAGAAAATTGTATTACTCATACCCTTTCCTTCTTCCAATTCCCGAAGAGTATCCCCATTTTCTGTTATGAATATAATAATAATATTAAATAAGCAAAAAATCTTATGCAAAACTTTACCTCTTGCAATGGATGTAAAATCTGGCTCGGCTTCTTCTAAGCTTGGCGTTTTGAAAGCGATTATCGTCGGCTTATTACGCATATAACGGAAACTTTGTGCCAGCGATTTATTTTGTGGGCTTAAATAGGCTAGACCGACACTCTGCAGACGCGCTCGTCTAACGCGTGATTCATCAAAAGATCTCTCAGATTCGGAACGGCCAAGTGCGCGAAGACTTTAAAAAAAATATAAAATAAAAAAATATTAATTTAAGGTTTACTTTACGAAAGTCATGTCTAATATAATTTCCAACACTTACGCTTTAAGACGTTCCTTCTTCTTTGTTTTTACAGCTATATCTGGCAGTGAGAGACTCTTCTCGAGTTGTGGCTTACGCGAATTCAACTTAAGCACTCGCTTATCGAGTGGCTTTTGGTAGGAATCAACTTGATCGGCGACGAAGCCATCGTTCGTATGACCACCAGAGCCATTTTTCGTTGGCACATCCTTTCGCGAGAAGGTGCGTTGTAGTGTCTTCTTAATACTCCGTATACGGTCGTTAGGTTTTGCTGACGAAGTGTCAATCTCATCGCGTGCGCTAATGCTTTCCAGCGCCAATTTTGATGGGACTTGTGTTTGTCGTGCGGGTTTCAATGGAACATTTTGCATTTGATTTGCACTTTTATTCGCGAGCAGCAATGATGGTTCATTACCATTCGTTTTGTTTTGTAGGCGTGCCAGGTTTTGTGCTAGGAAATCGATTTGTGGTGTTGGTGAGGTCCTCGACTCATTCTTCTCTGTTATGCGCACCATATCGGTTGGTATCGCATGTCGTTGCTGTATGATCTCGCCCTTGTGTAGTTTCTGTTGTTCCTTCTCGAAATACTGATACAAACGATTGGTCCATTCGCCTACAGTACGTATATGTAACCACATATAATCTTCCTGTTCGGGTGCCGAACTAATTGTGAAAGGATGCCATTCATAGTTGGCAATAGCTGGTATATTGACGAAGACATAATCACCAGGACGAAAATTAAAGTTGAACGGTCGTTTGATAACCAAATGTATAACCTTTGAGGGTAGCAACAGACCTGAGCTGATATAAGTTTTGCCATGTTCACTCTTCATCCAGACAAAACGTAATATGCGCTCCACAATATAAACTAGACCGGGCACCAAGAACCACTTCCAGAAATTTGGACCGTGAAATAGTAACAGTATCCAAAAAGGTATGTACAAGAGATGAGTCCAATAAAAGACTTCAAAGGAACCTTTACGCCGCACAAATGGCTGCGAACATATGAACATTATCAGTATGATAATGAGCAATGCCAACCCAGTGGGATTAGCACAGCCCGGTATAAGACCAAACAAACCGGGACGGTCCGTAAGTAGCCATTCACCAATCGTATAATGACCAGCATTTATTTTCGGATCATTCACGACAATTATGGAGAAATTGAAGAGATGTGCGATGGTGTGTAGCAAACTGAGTATTGATACCACAATTCCGGTTAGTTTGTGCAGATAAATATGGTTATCTAGGGGCAGGTAGGAGGAGAGACCCTGCGAACGTAGATAGGTGAGAGAGTGCCGTAGCATCAGCACTAAAATCCAGGCACAGTTGAAATTAAGACATTGTCCTGTGGAGTTGGAAATTTATTTATTTAAATATTTTTACTACTTTTTATTCACTTTTGTCTCAGTTTCCCTACCACATGCACGTGCAACGATGACAAAACCATTGCTCGCTCGATATTGTATGGCACGCGATATGAAAAGGCACAAATTTATAGCAATGTAAATGTACAAATACGAAACGAAGGCTTGATTATTCTTCATGTAGGCCATTGTGAGCTGATGTGGCCAGGTAATGCGACAAGTGGGACAACCAGGTTTTGGCTTCGGCTTTTCCTGAGTTATAGGAACAAGCCAACGATCTATGCTGTGAACAAAGTTTGTTGCATTTATGAGCATTTAATCAATTAATAAGAGGATTGCTTTTACGTATGTGAACAGACTGATCTTACGTTATACTGAGATTCTCTAATAAGCCGCCATGTTTGCTTATTTGATTCTTTAAAGCTTCATAAGTAATTTCACCGCGGTTATAAGGATCCGCATCTTCGAACATGGCTGTCGTCAGATCTTCAATCTAACGGATTTTTTGTTTTTGGGATTTTTTTTAAATAAAAAAGCTCTTAAAATCAAGACGAAAATTATCTCTTTTGGTGCACTTACCTGTTCTTCAGAGAATTCCATACCGTTTTCTTCCATACAAGCGCGTATCACATCGTGTAGCTCCTTGTGCTGGATCAAGCCATCGCCTTGTGTTAAAATAAATATAATAAAAAGAGATAATTATAGTAACAAAGCTTTAGAGGGTGGATTCACGTATTACAAAAATTAATCTATTCTAACTGAGGTAGATTATTTCAAACGAGACGGGCTTCAGCCGTAGCTAGCCGCAATCGCCGGGTGGTTAGCATTGCGTACTGGTATTTTGAAGAGCAGGGTTCAAGTTCGCTTCCGAACAACATACAAAATTATTATTATATACAAAATTAAGTCCATCTTCCCTGCCAAGCAAATCTCTGCCTTAACCCGGAGTTAGTCCTAATATTATTTATAATACAAGAGATGTTTTGGAAACGTCAATTCAGTACAATTTTTATCATGGATCGCTTCAAACCGAAACAAGGCGCTCAAATATTGACACTTTACATCCAAAAGAGGCCATCTTTGATCAACAGAGGTCGAATTGTGTTCCATCCGGACAACGCCAGGCCACACACGTATATGGTGACGCGCCAGAAGCTCCAGGAGTTCGGATGGGAGGGCCTAATGCACCCTGCTTATAGTCCAGATCTGGCACCATCTTTCCCTGTCCATGGCGAAAGCGCTTAATGGTGAGAAGTTGGCCCAAAGAGAGGTCTTTGAAAATTGGATCTCTGAGTTTTTTGTCAATAGGGTCGCAGCTTTCTACGAGAGAAGTATAATGAAGTTGGCATCTCGTTGGCAACAAGTTTACGAACAAAACGGACAAATGTACACAAAGTTAACATATTTTGAAAAATCAATAAAAAAACCGAACGAACCTTTTACTTGACCTAATATTAGTTATAATACAAAAGATGTTTTATATTTTTTGTGAATTAAATTCTTGCGACGATTGCTTTCTAATATTTTGCCTTAAGTTAAGCTAACAGCAACTATCTTCAAAGGAACTTCACATACATACTTACCGTCAATATCGTAAACTTTAAAAAGGAAACGTATTTTATCATCCGCCGACTGACCAGAGAATTGATGAATGGCGTCAATGAACTCTTGTAAAGATATCGAACCTGAGTTATCCTTGTCGAATATTTGAAAGACACGTTCAGTAAAGAATGGCTGTATTAAGTGATATGCATGTAAAATTAGCGAACCAGCGAGACATACGAGTACATCCACATGAGCCATTAACAAGAACGGAAAGAAATATGCAAAGACTTAAGTATATTAGAAATTCAAATGTGTAAGCGTGTGGAGTTTCTCACATTTTTCGATGTAACAATTTTCTGAAATTCTTCACGCCGTATCTCCTGCTCATTACCCACAGTGCTGCGAAAGAGTTGCTCCAGACGCTCCAAGGAACTCTTATCAAAACCGGTGCGTGGCCTATGATAGAAAGTAAAGAATGTATAAGAAGTGCTTTTGGCAAGTGTATTGAATGTATGTGTGAATGTGTGCAGTGACTGCCGTTGCCTGCTAAAAACAAATATTTATATGTACATATTTAGACACATCGCTGTCCGTGTGTGTATGTGTGTGTGTGTGTGTGCATATATGTGTGCGGTTAGCAAAGGTGAAGAAAACATTTTCGGTTAGTTGAGTTTGTGTAATAAATTATAGATTAATTAAAGATTGCAGTTATTGGACGCTGACTGATTAATGGGGCAGCAATGCAAAATGCCGCGAGGAGTCGATGAGTCGTACATACACGCCACGATCATGTAAGGGTACGACTTGCATTCGGTATTATGGAAATGAAAGCAGAAAGCGATCGCAAGCTCAGCGCACGGATTAACGTTCCAGCGTATGCACTTGCGTTTGTTGTGCCACTTTGGCGTGTTAATCGATTTGTTGGCAATTTGTAAGCGTTCAGCAGCGGTAAGACGTACATGCAAACACAATACATACATACATACAAACATAACATACATTAAATTTAATGACAGCAATAGATACATGTTACACATTGCCAAATGTGCCAAAAGTGCAAATGCTCTGTGCTTAATAGTTTATTTATTCCTTTGCAATGGCAAAGCGATCTGTCTGCGGTTCGAATCATTTGTGGGATACTTACCGTGAATTGGTCAGGTGTGAAATGAATTCCATTATTTGATTTGTGGATATTAAATTCGTGCCATCCGCATCGATGAGGCGATATAATTTATCTAATATCTACGTACAAGTAGAAGAAAGAAGTATAGAGTTTATAGTCTTGCTTTTATCATTGAGCTTTTAAACACAGATGTGCTTAGTTTATGGGCTATAAAGATTTTGGCCTGGGTGTATTTACAATTAGAGTATAAAAATAGATAAAAGCATACCAATGAAAGTAGTATACCAACTTATTCTACTTACACCTCGCGCTTGCCAAATTTCCGTGAAGTTTTTCGGCGTAATTTTGCTATTTTCGCCACAAATTACATACGCAACAGACTCGAGTTGCTCGGCGAAATCCATTTGTCTATCATCGCTGTGAATTTGTTTAAAAATAAAATAATATTTATAGCAAGATCTTTGTGAATAATAGCGAAAAATATAATAGCATAAAATAATAAAACATAAAATACAATATTATAAAAAATAATTATTATCCCAAATAAAAATAAATGCAAAGGATAAAATAAATAAAAAAAAAATAAAAAAAAAATATAATAAAATAAAATAAACTAAAAAACAATAAAAAAAATAGAACAATAAAAAGAAATATAATAAAAAAATATAATTAAAAAAATGAAAAGAAAAAAATAAAATAAAATAAAATGAAATAAAGTAAAGTAAAATAAAATAAAATGAACATAAAACAAATGAAATAAAATAAAATAAAAATAAAATAAGATAAAAAATATAATAGAATAAAAAATTAAATACTGAAATAAAATGAAATAAAATAGAATAAAAATAAATAAAATTATTTTATTAAACAAAAAAAAAAATAAATAAAAATGAAAAAGAGACATAAAACTATAGAAACTAAATATAATAAATCAAAATATTAATAGATTAAAAAATGAAAATAAAAAAATAAAATATAATAAAAAGAAATAAAGTATAGCAAGATTAAATAAAATAAAAATAAATAAAATGAAATGAAATAAAATAATAGTAAGATAATAAATAAATAGAATAAAAAATTAAAGAAACTGAAATAAAAGGAAAAAAACAAATAGAATAGAATAAAAATAAATAAAATTAATTTATAAAAAAAATGAAAAAAAGACATGAAATTATAGAAACTAAATATAATAAATCAAAATATTAAAAGATTAAAAAATGAAAAGAATTAAATTAAATATAATAATACGAAATAAATTATAGAAAAATTAAATAAAAGAAAAATAAATGAAAATGAAATGAAATAAAATAAAGTAATATAATAGAACAAAAACTTAAATAAACTGAAATAAAATGAAAAAAAAAAACAAATAAAATAGATTAAAAATAAACCAAACTATTTTATAAAAAAATTAAATTAATTAAAATGAAAAAGAGAATTAAAATTAAAATAAACAGAAATATTAATAGATTAAAAAATGAAAAGAAAAAATAAAATAAAATAAAATTAAGCAAAATCAATTAAAATAAAACAAAGTAAAACAAAATAAAAGAAAATAAAATTAATAAATAAATAAGTGGAGAAATAAAATAGAGTAAAATGCAATAAAAATTAAAATCAATCGAAAAAGAGAAATAATAAAATAAAATAAATAGTTTAACAAAATAACATAAAAATAAAGAAAATAAAAAAAAAAAATAATATAACGTACCAAAAATTTAAAAATAAAATGAAATTAAGAAAATTAAAGCAAACAATAAGTAGTAAATTAAATTTTCACAAACATGCATTTAATTGATGCGTAGAAATTGAAGCGCGCTTCGAAGCTCATTTTTGGCTTAAGCTTTGGCTTTTAGTATAAAAAATATATTGGAATTTCACATTGCCCCTACATGAACTAAAAAAAAATACCGATGATTTTGGAAAATTATAGATTTTTTCAAAGTTTGAATAAAAAATTTCACTTTTAGAAAAAAAAATTACTTTAGGCTGCCAAAAATAATTTAAATAATACTTTTATCCAACTTTTGTTAGTTAAAATGTCTATCTAATTTAATACTGAAGCTAGATTACTTTGAATTTTTTTCAATCGGATATACATTTTTTCCGCTATTAGCGGCACCGTTTTCTAAGACATGTAAAAATGAAAACTCGAAAAAAGGCGCTTTAAAGTACTGCCCAAGCACTAGAAGTCGAATTGTCCACAGAAATTTTTTAAGACATATTGTGGGATAGTGTTAGAATAGATTTAACAAGAAAAAATCGGAGAGAATCGGAAATGAAATCCCCATCCAGCTTCAAAAAATTTAAATAAAATCAATTAAAAATTAACGATCATTCAAATGAACACTGCGGCTGGCTGGAACAAATTTTAGCCGAAAGGGCCAACTTTCTATGTTTTTTTTTGCACCGATTCACATGCAATGCAAACAACTTCACATAACCCCACAAAAAATAGTCCTTTGGTGTTGCATCGTACGATGTTAGGACGCCATGCCACAAGCGTACGCTCACCAAAAGTTTCTTTCAATAAATCCATTGTTTCGTTGATTGTATGGCATATAGCGTGGAGCCAAAGGTCGCTCCTATAAACATCGTCTAATTCAGGCACAAAAAAGTGATTCTTTATGACTCTAACTAATTTTGGCCGGCTTTATTTTTGAAAATATATGGACGAATGGTACCCCATGTCTATAGAGCACACCAAACAGTTAGGATATATGGAGAGGATATGATGGCGACTCAACAATGGCTTGTGGAATAAATCACTCCACACCCATTCAACCAAAAGTGAGCCTTATCGCTAACAAAAAATTGGCTTGTGACACCTCACACGAGTTTAAATCCAGTAACAGCCGTCAAAAAGGCAAACTCCGGAAAACAAAATTGCCTCATTGAAAACTACGTGTCTAAGAAAACAGCCTTCATTAGATTAGAGCTAGGCTTGTGTGAGTGTATCGCGTTTAATAGGTCAAGGAACATGAGTCGAGACGAGTTACTAGACTATTAGTCAATTTTGTTTGAATAATCATTCTCTCTGATAGCGTTTTATGCTTAGCTGCAAGCAGTTCAGACGGTGGTCATCCAGTATTCCTGGAAGGAGAAGACAATTTAAATTAACCCTATAATATTCTTAAAATAGAAAACCACAGTAGATAGCAGCGGTTAGAGGTAATGAGATGAGTTTAGTGGACTTAGCACGTTGGCAGGCGACTTAGACATCAATCTAACTTTCATCTCCAGACTTTTAAATTAAATAATGCTTCTCTCAGCATTTAAGAAGCAGCGAAAGGCATATACAAAATTTAACACAAAGCGATCATAAAATACATATTGACATTTTTAAATATTTACATAAAAATAGCATGCAAAACGGCAGCTTGTAACAACACTTATACAAATTAAGATGAGATGCCAGCGGCGCATGTTGTACATGTCATTGAAATTTATGTCCACAACACAATCAGTAGGTGGATAGCGAGTGGCACGCAGCCGAATACCGTAGTGGAGGCGATAAATTTTTGCATTGTATTTATTACATTACAACATTTACATGCTTGTTAGAATGTGACAAGAAACATATGTATGTAAGTAAATGGTCAACAATATTTGTAAAATACCAAACAATGTACAAACATATATAAAAATATATGTAAATATTTACCAAGGATCTATGTAAGATGAATTCAAAGGACTGTATTTAAAAAAAAATATGTTTTTATTATTAATATGTGTGTATAGATATTTCCAAAAAGAATAAATAAATACTACTATCTATTTTTTAATAAATTTTAAATTCAATAATTAAATTAATATTAATTTATTAACTTACGTTAAACGTCCTTTCAAGTGTTCAATCCAACGATCCTGCACCAAGTAGCCATTGCCTTCGAGATCGAATAGGTGGAAGAATTTTTGTTGGAATTCCTATCGAAATAAATAATCGTATAATATTATATATGTTAATAAAATTCCTATAAATTATTTGCTTTCTACTTAATGGATAATTTATTTCAAAATACATCATTGTATTCTTAGAATTCTGATAAAAAAGTTTATTATTAAATAATGATATTAATAGGAGGTTATTCATTTTGCGGTTTCGAAAATTTTTGCTAATTTCAATCCTTTTGAGGTAATGATCGACCACTTTTTTGCACATACTGAAGATCTAAAGGTTTATCCGCATAATACGCAAAAAAAGTCTAACGGTTTTAAATCACACGATTTCGGTGGCCAATTGACTTCGCCAAGAGCACGAAACCATATCCGCACGTGTTTTTGAAACCACGTGTTGTCCAAGTAGTGTAAAAAAGTCGGTTATCATATGATCATCATTACGCTCCAAATAGACAGTGATAACCTCGTTGTTGTAGTTTTCAAGGAAGTAAGGTCCAACCACTCCTCCGAACCAAACCACGCACCAGACAGTAAGTGTCTCCTTGTCTATTCGAGAGATCGTTTGTACGGTGCTGTGAGTGATCAGCTCGTTTCAGTTGTTGCGTGAATTGTACTTTAAGTGGTTGTAAGTGTAAGTTCAACAAAGGCACAATCTATTACAAGAGTTTACAACCGCTTTCTGGAAGCTTGACAAAGAAGCGGAGCGAAAGGGTTTGATAGTGAACAAAGGCAAGACGAAATATGTGCTGTCATCAAAAAACATTCGGCGCATTTCCGGCTTGGTTCCTACGTCACTGTTGGCAGTTATAACTGCGAGGCCGTAGATATTTTGGACTGTCTCGAGACCAGTATGTCAGCCATGAAAACCAACGCAGAATATCTCTTGCCAACCGGTGCTGTTTTGGACTGAGTAGTACGGCGAATAATGTAGACGATGGAGCTATACGAGTTATACCATAACATTGATATAGTTCAGGGAATGAAGAAGCAGTGGATCCGCTGGCTAGGCCATGCCATTTGAATGAATGAAAGTGTTTTAAATTTCAAAGTATTCGATGCATTACCCACTGGTGGCAGCAGGGGAAGAGCGAGACCTTCACTCCGCTGGAAAAATCAGGTGGAGAGGTAGGGTATTTGAAGTGGAACAAGCGAGACGATGATGCACAGGCTTATATATGAGGTGTGATCAGAAAATATCTGTTATTTTCGAATTTCCTGAGTTACGTATGCTCGAATATCGCTTTTTTTCTGCTATGTTGGTAAACATGTCTGTTATATACATATGTATGTTCACAATATCAGCCATTTTGGATAATTCGAAAAAATGGATCAAAGAAACTGTATTAAGTTTTGTGTAAAAACTGAAATTAAATGCGCAAGGACATTTGAAATGTTGACAGTGGCGTTTGGCGAGTCTACTATGAGTTGAACACAAGTTCAATTTTGGTATAACCGGTTTAAGGAAGAGCGAGATGATGTCAATGACAATGCTCGTCCTGGTCGCCTGAGCACGTCAAGTTTTGTCAAATGTGAAGGTTTTGCTCACTGTTTTCTTCGACTGGAATGGCGAGGTGCTTCATGAATTCTTGCCACAAGGTCGTACGGTCAATAAGGAATACTACCTGGAAGTGATGCGCCGTTTGCGCGAAGCAATTCGCCGGAAGCGCACAGAATTGTGGAAAAAACAATCATGGATTTTGCGCTATGATAACGCACCAGCTTACACATCGATGCTTGTGTGCGAGTTTCTGGCGAAACCGTTATCATGCCTCAACCAACCGGACTTTTTCCCCTCCGAAAAATTGAAGAAAAGTGTTTTGCTACGATTGAGGAGATAAGAGATAAACCGAAACAGTAGCTATTGGCGATAGCAAAGAACACATTTCAGAAGTGTTTCGAGGATTGGAAAAAACACTGGCATAATTGTATTATATCTGAGTGGGACTATTTTGAAGGGGACAAATAAAAACTTTTTGAAAAAATTGAGAATAACGGTTATTTTCTGATTACACCTCCTATGTCTGTAAATGATGCAGTCCTTCTGGAGTAGTTAAACGATTATGTGTGCCGTAATCCTCTCCTCAAGCTCCAAGTTGCGCAACAAAATATGTTTTGTTTGACAGTTAAGTTTGGCAGATCAGATGCCAAAATACAGCTCTGTACTTTTGAAACCACGAAATGTATAGCCCTATATTTATATAAATCAATAAATATATAAAAAATTAAATAATTTTAAAATAAGTTGTAAATATTTATTTACATTCTACCCGGGTTTAAATTCAATACCCCAATCATTTGCATAATTACTTTCATTACGGATGAAGATGAAAAACGATAAAACAAGATTTTAGAAAATATTATATGAACATTGTCCAGAGGGCGCTGGCATGAAACGTGACTACCTACATATGTAATATATCGACATGTTAATTAACTATGTTTCTTTTAATATAAATATGTTCTGTTCTACTAGAAAGAAATAAAGATGCAGAATGAAGAAACATCGGAAAAATAATAATTAAAATGTGATGGCAGATATTTCAAGGTCAGCTATAGTGTTTTTGTAAAAACAAGTGAAGTGATTTGGTATCATCAGTTAGATTAGGTAAGATTGCCTTCAGAACTGTTTTAAAGCAAGAAAGAAGTACTTGCGAAGTGCTTTTTATGGGCTTATGAAATTTATTGCGAAGTGAAAATTCGATTTCGTCATTTTTCTTTATCATTATTTATTGGGATTTACGTGTGTAGAATATCAAATTTTACGTTCTTAGATGCTTATTTTAAAGAATTTTTGCACCAAAACTACATGTCAGATAAAATCGGTTATATGGGAGCTCTATGATATAGTCTCCCGATTTTAGTGATTTTAATGATTTTCATTAACAATGTTGAATTAAATTATCTACGCACTTAGATTCTTTTTTTCATAACCAAAAATCTCAAATCCGAAAAATCGGTTGTGAATATGCTATATATATACATATCTGGCCGGTTCCAACAAATGATGGCTGAGATAAAGTATGTTTTTGCATTAGAAACGCGTTTTTCAATGAGGTGATACTTTTTTCGGAGTTGATCTTTTTGACAGCTGTCATTTGATTTATACTCGGTATGCGCAGACTTAATTTAAACCAGTCGCATATGGAGTGGTGATGATCAACAAGATATTGTTGAGACGCCGTTGCACCGCTAGACTATTTTTTGTGGATTTTACGGCCGCGATTTCCATTCGGGAGATCAGACTTCGAGGCCTAGTCCGATCAACAAACAAAAAAATTATAGAAAATTAGTTTAAATAAAAAATTAAGTTATATTTGCCATGAATTATAAGCTACCCATAACCATCACCTGTTCGGAGGCGGTTTAGTATAAACTGTAGATCCCTCCAATTGTTGGAAAAACATCAAGACACATACCAAAAACTATAGGAGTAGCAGCTCGGCCGAAAATTGCTTCAACAGTTGCAAAGTCACTTATCTAAGCTTAGGAATATTCGGCCAGTTAGTGCTGGCATACGACCCTAATTGCTGCAAAAACTGGTCGAATTTATTCGAGCCAGCCACGGCGGTCACTTGCCTCAAATCATTTAGAGAACAAAATTTGCCTGACCTTAACTTTATAATAAATCTAAATGCGTATTTAAAAAATGTATATTTGTGGTTAAAATATATTTACTTGAGTTTGTTTCCTCTTGAAGACCACAAGTCTAAAACAAAGACCTTTTATCAAAATGACGAACGGAGTGGTTCTCGTACAAGCAGACGGGCGTGGCTATATCAGCTCGACACATGATTCTGATCATATCGGGTTAAATTTCGATAGGCCTAACTCTTCTCCTTCCGGCACTTGCATACTTCGAATCAAAGTTAATAAACCATTTCATGTACTTGAAAGGTATAAGAATAAGAATACCATTTTTTTAATCTGTAAGAAAAATTCTAGTTTTCCAATAATGATATTTGCCCAAAGTACCATATTTTAAATCAATAAAAAGGTTTATCGAATATTCAATTAAATTAGTGCCAAACAAATATTTTTTAGGCAACCAAAACATAAAACATGTACATATTTACATATGTGTGTATACGTATGTAGTAAATTGTTAAACAAGCACGTCGATTATTTTGAAAATGCAAATAACAAACAAACAAAATAAAGACAGCTAAAGGGGAAACCAATCAGGCCGCTAAACCTGTTTTAAAATATTCAGTTAATGGTTTAGGTAACCCAAATATATTTATTAACCGGCTTCTTTTTATTGGTGTCCCTATATTACACACTCTTCGATTTTTTCTTTCAATGCTAGTCTGTGACACATTTCATTTAACGACATTAACATTTTTCAGATTTTTTTTTTAAATACAGGTAAATATGTATACATACGTACATGTGTATGTACATACAATATAATTATATATAATTGGTGTTTTTTGTAGCCGCTGAAGCGATTTTCGGCCGAGCTCCTCCTCCAATTTGTGGCTTTGCGTCTTGATGTTTTTCCAACAAATGGAGGGGCCTACAGTTTATACTAAATCGCCTCAGAACGGCTGATGGTTTTTTATGAGGAGCTTTATTTCATGTCAGAAATGATGTTGGTCGCACTGGGATTTGAGCCCGAGCGTTTCGAATGGTTACATAGCAGGTGAAGTAGAATATAATCCATTATTTTTACAACAGATGGCTTTAGTGAGCTGCATCTAGTGGTCCATAAGTGTGTTTGGTTTACGCTAGATGGCGCTAGAAAGGTTATACTTGTACTGAAAAAGATAATGGGGGAAGTGATCAACTCCGTGGAGATGCAACGAATGTCAATAGTGGACACCAGCAAAGAGAAAATACGCTTTATTCTAAAAAAATTTCTTCGATAAAGGTGACATTTTGGTTTCGTCGATTTCGTTCCCGTTAATTTGGTGTAAAAGAAGCTACACGGTGTGAAAGACCAACTGTCAAACATTTCGATAGAACATTCAATGGAAACAGTCGAGCTTTAACGTCCTGTTTTAATTGCCTAAGAGCGAAACATTGCACAAAAACAGTTTGGAATCACGTGAAAAAAGCTGCATACACAAAGAAGCTCGATGAATTGGTGCCACATGAGTTAACGCGAAAAAGATAATGGACCGAATTTCCATTTGTTCAGCGGCAGCTAAACCCATTTCTGAAGTGGAAATAGTCGTGGCCGAAGGGCAGTGAGCCAAGATTGGCGGTCAAGAAAGTTTTATTTTATGTTTGTTGAAATCGGCAGGGAATCATCTACTATAAACTGCTTCCCTAAGACAGAATTCTTAAAACGGACCTGTAATGTTAGCGATTTCATGGTCTGAAGGAAGCAATCGTCCAGAAACGCCCAGTTGTGGCTAACAGTAGGGGAATTGGGTTTAATCAGGACTCGCCAGATGCTTCAAGAGCTTGGTTTGGAGGTTCTCATGCAGCCACCTAATAGTCTGGATCTGGCACCAAATGATTACCATCCGTTTCTGTCTATGGCTGAATGAATGATTTGTCTGAAGAATTGGTCTCAGGAGAGATCTGTGTCCCAATTTTTTTCTATGAGAGTGGCATAAACATATTACTTTTAGAATGGTAAAAAGTTATCGAGCAAAACGGTGCATATTTCACATAATTCTGATAATTCTGACTACGGTAAATGAAATCTTCCATTTAATTCAAAAACAATGGATGACTTGTTACTTGACCCAATAGATAACTCGTAAAAACCAAAAATCAAAATGTGCATATGGATTTTATTACTGAAAGAAACCTGAAATACGATGGAGCACGAGTGACCTTAAACAATATTTTGTTAATTAAAATTTGAAATTATAATAATTAACAAGTCTTTTGTAGAAAATTTGTAATTTTTTTCTGATTATTTTTGAACTGCAATACTAATCAATAAATATTATCTGCGACTGTATTTCGTAATTTGATTTGTATATAACTCACCCTTTGCAACACCAATTTCCGGAATGCCTCCCGTGTGTGTTTGCCCTCAGCAAGCAGCGCACTACATTCGGATATGAGCAACCAGCGGAGCTTTTCACGTCGCGCCTCCACTTCCATCGCACTGAAATTCTTATCTAAATTGAGGTTGTAGCGGTCAATGTATCTGGCCACGTGAGATTGCTCTTCGCTTATCTCTTGCATTTGTGCTGAGGTAGTTGGTTGCGTTGGTTCCGCTTGCACCACTGGCTCCAACTGCAAATTGCTGAGGGAGGTGGTAAATGTTTTGCGTGTTGCAGCTGTGGTAGTAGCGGGTTGTGTGGTGTTTATAGAAACTATTGGCTGTGATTTGGTTTGTTGTTGTTGTTGTTGTTGTTGTTGTTGTTGTTGTTGTTGCGATAACAATGTTTTCGACTGTTCAATGCTGTTGAATTCATCGTCGGCGTCGTCCAATTTAAGCACAGCAGGTGATGTACTAACTGCTGCTGCTATCTTCAGCTCGGGTGCTGCTTTTGTTGTTGTTGTTGTTGCTGTTGTTGCTATATCATTTGCACTTGTGTTCATGTTTGGCAATTTATGCACTTGCACCTTATCAAATTCATCGCAAATATTTATTTCTTGCACTCGGCCATTTGACAGCGCTGCTCCACTATCGCCGTCGCCGTTGCCGCCACCATAGTCTCGTTTTTCTGCACGTCTAACTTTCTGTGGTGGTTGCTTTAGATTTATATGAACGCTGGTTGTGCTGATATCACCATCCGAATGATGATGCGACTGAGGTGGGCTGTGTGTAGGCTCTGTTGCCTCCACTGTTGGCGATTGGCGTTCACGAGTGCCATGCATTTGTTCCAGATATTGAGCCGCTTGCAGCAGCACGTGATTTACGGCCGTCAGCTCTTCTTCGGTAACAATTGTCGGTGATTTATTGTTGCTGAGACTACTTGCTACATTGTTGTCTCTGCTGCTATCGTTGTTATTGCTGCTGCTAAGGTTTTGTACAACAGCGATGCTGTCGGTTGTCTCACTGAAGGGCAAATCATCTGAGAATGATACCTTCTTAGGTGATCTTGTAGGCGTGGACGGAACCTCCAGTGATTTGATGGAGGATACAGAACCGCGTGGGTTTTCACTTGTGTTGTTCTTTTGGTTATGATCCATTTTTTTAGGTATACGAAAATTTTTTCGATTTATGAAAATTTATTTTATCACTTTTTATTTCAACATTTAGGCACTGTTTAATATGAGTTTTGATTATCTTCAATAGTGGTTATTTGTAGATATAATACTGTAAACTAAAAATATATTGAAGATTTTGTTAAACTAAACACTTTGCCATACTCCTTAGTCTCTCGTGAACTGGAGGGGCCTACAGTTTATACTAAGCCGCCTTCGAACGGCCGATTGATTTTTATTTCATGTCAGACACTACACTCGGGGTTCTTGACATTCTCTGCCGAGAATAATAATTCTCTATGATTTTTCTTTTGTTGGATTCAAATCCTGGACCCTGGTCTTCCGAATGCTAATATGCTAACCCCTCGATTATTTTGGTCGAATAGTGCACATTGGGTGTCGCGCTTTCAATGAGCATATTCAACATTCTCCTAACGTAGTTTAGACAAAATAAATCTGAGCTTTAGTGATGTGTATTTACTGTAGATGAAACTTGGATACACGACTATAAGACAGAAACAGAAGTACAGTGCAAATAGTACACTGCAAAGTGGAGCCGGTTACAAAACACCAAAAACTCTTTTCTCGTTGGGGCCAGTATTGGGGTCTGTTTTTTTCTGACAGTCATGGAGTCTCACACCCAGTTTGAGCTGCTTCACTATCAAAGCTTCACTCATCAAACCTAACCCCTAGCGTATACTTTTTGTTCTCTCATCTAAAAATTACGCTCGCAGGACAGAGATTTTCGTTAAATGAAAGAGCAGACCCTTTGTGGACAGTTATTTTGCAGAGGGATGCAACGATTACTATTTAGACGGGTTGCTGTAATAGATTGGAAACTTTTCATATCAGTGGATTATATGGAATGAAATTTATGAGATTGCTAAAAGTGCTTCAGAGCAGGAAATACCAAAGCCAGATGAAGACGCTGTATAAAGGCTGCACCTCAATGATATATTCCACGTTAACCATAAAGATTTTGGAAATGTTATCGTTAAAGCAGTTATTAAAATAAATTTTAGTTTGTTTTTAACAGAAACGAAATATCATAGCAATCAGCTTTTGTTAAAATTACCCTTAACGGTGAGATTATGCGGTATTAATAAACAATTTCATTTCGTTTCGTAACATGTCGGCGACACATAAAAAATCATTTCTCACGTTTATTTTCATATTAACACAACAAAACCGCATCGTTTCGTTAGTTGAGCATCTCTGCTCTGTAAAATGAGATTGATGAGGGAGCTAGAAAAAGGATATGTGCAAGATAGAACGGCTCAAGGGCGTGCAGGATCGCCTGGAGCGTTTGTAAAGGCAGTGAAAGTCAGTGATAGGTGGCAAATTATTGACTTCACAGGAGTATAAAACTGGCATTGCTATACCACACCGGAAGGGTAGATAGACAGGCAGGCAGTGAGAAGTGAGAAGAGCCTCTGTACGGCCTTATCATTGGCTTCTAGGGCTTCTTAGTTTAGAACACTAGTCTTAAAGTTACATATCAAGCCGATCTTGAACTTTACACAAAGCGTTAACGTATCATGACGATTAGTTAGTTAGTTAACTAATGATCACGGGCGCTCAAGATGGAGCACACTTAGGCCGTTTAGCCAGTTGAATTTAGAATTGGTTAAATCCTCCATGGCTGTTTTTTAATTTAATAGTTTTTATATCGATAATTTTTTGTCAGATAACGCCTGAGTTGTGTCATGTTATTTTTGTTCAGAGTAGTCCTGGCATTTCATCATGAAAAGACTTAAATTTCTGGTTATTGGGACGAAGAGCACGATATTCAAGTGCTGCATTTCATCCAGAATAAACATTGGTTTGGTGTGTTTTATTGGCCGTTGGAATTTTCGGTACATATTTCTTCAAAAATGATACCGGTGAGAACGAAACCGTTAAAGGCGGCCGTTGTCGCGCCATGATAATTGACTGTTTGATTTATTGAGAGCAGATAATTTCACGTTTTGGGTCGGTCGTGTGATATCACGCTGTTAGACGTTATGTACAGTCTAAAGTCTATGCGGATAATCCCGCTTCGATTCAGGCCTTGGAGCAAAACATCAAGCGTGTCATTCGCCAGTTATCAGTCGAAATGCTCAAACGACGCATCAAAAATTGGAATCAACGGAAGGAGTGAAACGTCACTCCTGCCAACATTTGAAAGAGTTAATCTTCAAAAACTAAATGCCAAAGAATGTTCTTTCGAAAAAAAAATTTCCATTAAATTCGAATTTTCTGTTTTTTTTTCTTTAAAGAAAAGGAAACCTACAAATAAGAACAATAATTTTTTTAAACGAAGATTTCATTGCTTTCTTGGCACTTTTAAGAAAATATATAAGTTTTTTTTTAATTTTTTTAAATAATAGTAAACACTGTTGATATTTTTTTCATTTATTATTTATTATATTTATTATATTTAAACTCGTATGCTGCTATCGAATTCACTTCGCTCTTTAGCCCAAATTATATTTCTATAAATTTGTATAAATTTTGTATTTTTAATATGTATCATATATACATATACTATGTACATATATACTTATGTAAGCATTTTTATTTCACTATTGTAACGATTTTGTAACGCATATTGAACGTGACTTTTTACAAATATAGTACCTTTACTGTGTAATGTGGCAATTTTGCGCACATTCCTCTCAAAAACTTATATTTCCATTACGTTTTCAATGGAAACAAACACAAATTGGAGCAGGGTATTATGACACAAATTTTGTGAGTTTTGAAAAATTCACGTTTTCAGAGGCACTTTAAACAAATTTTCTTACAAATTTCATTCATTTGCATTTTTTTTTTTAATTTTCGAGATCGCATTTGATACGCCCAAGCTAATTTGTAGCTTGGGCGTATCAACTTGCATTTTGTTTCAATAAATACTGTTTTCAACATCACTTTGTCAGCAGATCTTAATCTTTCCAACAAATAAATAACACTGTTTTCCAAACTTTCAGCTTAAATGTCGACAAAAGGGGCTACAACAATTAATGTGGGTGGGCAAATTTGAGTTTTCGGTTAATTAGGTTTTTCGAGATTAACCGTTTTATGACATTCTTTGCTTCAAATTTCATTATTATTTTTATGTTTTCGTTCACAAAAAAAAAAAAAAAAATTTGCAACAAATTACATTCAATATTTGGTTGACATTGATGACTTGGACAATATTTTTGTATAAAATTTTTATAAAATTTTCTGTTTTCGATTTTTTTTGTTTTTTATTTATTTTTTTTAATTTTTATTTTATATCTTTAATCTTTTATTTTTCATTTTTTTTTGTTTTTTTCGTAATGTATATTTGTTGACTTTTTTACTTAAATTTTCAAAATTTATAAATAAACTAATGTAATTGGGAATTTTTAAGTGTATTTCTCTTTTTTCGGATTTTTTTTTTATATATTGCATATTTTCATATTAATTATATATTTTAATACAAATTAAAAATAAATTTTTTTTCTTTTTAATTTAATAATAAACTAATTTAATTGATAAAAGACGACTTCACTACACAGAATCAGAAAAAAGCTCAATTCGGCTTTTGCTTTCGTTTTTAAAAAATATCACACACGCAGCATTTTTTTTTTAATATAATTATAATAATTAATTAAAATTCGTTTATGTCAAATTCGTTAATCATGAGATGAGCGTCGCAAACTTGAGCTAACTTTGTAAAATCAAAAAAAAAAAAAAATAAATTGGGAACAACATTTAATTTAAAAATTATTTATCACATCTTAACATTTTTTTCCGAACCGTAAAAAATTTTGTGTTAGTTGATTATATCTAGTGATTATTTTTTACGGCGAGAAATTAAAATTTTTAAATTTGTTATTGCCTTTAAATTTTTATTTAGTAACATATTAAAAAAAACTGTCATAATAAGGCACTTCTTGGATTTTCGATTTAATTTTCTTTTCTTTCTTTAGGTCGATTCTTTAAAAAGTGGTTACTATTGTAGTTGTTGAGCACCTAGAAACATTTTTAGCTGATCTAATATTTATACAAATCACAAGCAGATCTGGCCACACATTGTTGTGGGCTTCTCTATTTTGTCCAATTTTTATTCTAGTGGATATTGCAAAGAACTAAAAAAAAAACCGCATTAAGTATCATCTAATTCAAAACAATATTTTTTTTTTATCATATCAATTTGACTGCTCAAAGTCATTCTCGAAAATTCCAATATGAGTGTCTCGAAGTAATTCAAATGCCCCATTTTGATCTATGCTTCACTAACACTCGAATTGAGAATAGCTTGTCTCTCACAACCCTGCGAAGTAAATACATCTATGCTCATACTGATTTTGTCGATGCTCATACTGACTTTTGTCAATCTGTCGGTGATGCTTTTCTCGTAAAGAAAGTAAAACGGGCTTGGCTCCAGGCTCCTGATCCATTTATAGGAAACAAAAGTATTCCATTTGGGCATATCTTCGAAGTAACGTTAATATGTCGATCCACTTTTCGGAAAAAAAAAATTTCCAAAAAAAAAAAAAATCCAGCAAAATTTTTTTTTACCGAACACTAAATTATTTGTTTTCGAATAGTTCAGTCCCTAGTCCATTTCCCGGAGAGAAGAGTAGTCTTCCAGTTAATCTAAGCAAAAAGACAGCTATGCTATGCGAATTTCGAGTAAATCGAACACTTTTTTTTTAGAATATCTCGTTTCTTAGTTCACTTCGCGAAGAGAAGAGTAACCTTCCTGTTAATATAAGCAATTTCACGTAAATCGAACGATGAATAAATTTTTTTAAATAATCCGGTGCTTGGTCCACTAACCGGAGGGAAGAGTAGTCTTCCAGTTAATCTACACAAAAAAAAAAAAACAAAAAAAAAACACCTTAAATGAAATCATAAGCACGGGTTTTTAATAAGTCTGACCTTGGTTCACTTCTTTAAATTTTTCTAATTCTTTGAAATCCTCACAGAGTCCATAAAAACAAATTAATAAAATTCAAAATGCAAGTTAATCGTTCAGTAACTTTTGGAGATTATCGGATCTTTACAAACGAACACAAGATTTCGAAGACCTTGAGCCAAAAACTTTAATACAAAAAAAAAAGTTCTACAAAAGTATTGAGGTAATTTAACTAAATATTATTATTATTAATATTTTTTTATGTTATTATTCTTTAGTTATATTTTTTTTAGTGTTGTCTAACTTTATTTCACCACATTTAAAAATTTCAATTTTTGTAGATATTAAAAAAGTATTATTTTCGTTCTTTTAAATTTTTTTTTATATATAAAATGCATATGAATTTTTGTTTTAGTATTTAAATAATAATAAGAAATAATTTATATAAACACACTAAGTATAAATTTTTATATTATTTTTTTCATTTTGCTATTTTGTTAATTTTTCAACTTCAGTTCAAATTTTTAACACTTTTCTTTTTTGAAATTTTTTCTTTAATTTATTAAAACAAAAAATGCTTTTAATTTGCATTTTTTCACATTACATTCAATTAAAACATTCAATAACTTCTGACACGCACATGCTTGCAACTGCTGCCGTCCTTGAGCAGGATATCTAGGAACAGGTTTTTTCCGCACAACTTTGCCGATTAAAAAAAAAAAAATTGAAAAGACAAAAAAAGCACACGCACATCAACTAATTATACACAGGCATAATAAAAGCCAAAACCAAATCGAACAAACGAATTCGCGCACGTATTCAGCGCAGCTTGCGGACGCGTACTGAAAGTGAAAACGAACTCACAATTCAAAATTACACACAATAACCGACAATAATACACCAATACGAGCACACTGCAAGTGACTGTGGCGTTGACGCTGATACCGGCCCCTCTGCGAAATTAACACACACACACACACACACACACGAGCACACAGAAACTGCATAAATGCAACAACTTTGTTAACGTTTCAATATTATAGCTCAATTTGAGTGCATATTGCACTCAATTGTTGGAGCTGAAAATGCATTGCGCTTGCATATTGCAACTTCTTACGTTCCACAAACAGGCAAGACTAGCTCACGAACACACTGGTTGATTAGCTGATTATTAGCCGATCGGATGTTTTGGCGGTATCGCGACTCGACGAGAGGCTTAAAGGAGCCAATCGTTTGTGAAATCACGAATGGTGTACGTCGTCGACGCATTCGTTGGCCAGTTGGCCATCGCGTAATATTTGGCGAGAATGCGCATGCGCATTCGCATTTCGCTTTTCGGCTTGAACACCTTTCGCTGCACAAGGTGAAGATACATACATACATAACCCATACATATGTATGTACAATAATAAAATCGCCAGTACACACACACAAAGACAATTGAAAAAAAAGATATATATAATTTTACTTGTTGCTTGCGTTTTCGGTTACGTTCTTAGCGGTTTTCGTTTACACCTTTTTGAAAGAACACAAATTTATTGTTAAAATAAATACGTTAATTTTTTATTGTATCGATTTGCTGCGTTGGATCCGGCGCGTACAAATAATTAAAACGTACTGAACGTCCGGTTGGTGGTGAACTGCTAAGCAGCCTGAGATTTTTAAAAACAAAAACATACGAGCAGTGCAATTGAAATTTGTTTTCGTTTAACAGTACATACATAAATACATACATACATATGTACGTTTAATAAATTTTGAGGTGTTTGAGATTTTGATTTTGCTGTTTTTTTTACATATGTTTACTATTGATGTGTTTTGTTGTTTTTTGTGTGTTTTATTCGTGTTAAATTTTTACTTAAATGCAGATGTGATTGGTTAAATTGAGCATATTTAAGGGTCAAGCATGAAAGCTGTACGTGTATATATATATGTACGAGTATGTACTTGTACATAAGTGAGAGGGAGTGATTAATATTTATGAATTGCCGTTAAAATTCACTTTACTATAAAGTGTATATTAAGCTAAATTTATATTAAAATTAACAGCGTCTTTTAGACCGCTTGTCAACATATTTTTATTTTTTTTTTTAAAGGGTTAGAGGTAGCTAGAGTCTTGGAAGTCTCAGAAATTTTAATAATTTTTCTTTGCGAGTAAATCATTTTCTGTATAAAAATATAAAAGTGAATGTATTCATGTAAATACATATCTATGCCGTCAATATACTCCGAAAACCGCATGTTGTTTCTGTTAAGTTTTGATATTTTCGAAAATGTTGCCACCTGTCAGAAAAATGAAATGCCGAAAAGAACCTCAATCTCTATATTTGTTGATTAAAAATCCAGACGCTGACTACAGAGGAGGAGCAGAAGTTCGGCCTAAAATCACTTCAGCGGTTATTTAAGTGAAATTCGGTACACAGATCATTTTTTGCCTAAAGTAAGATAAGTACCACTTTTTCTGCCGTTATGTGAATCGAGCATCGGATCATATTTGAGGTTCGCTTTGCATGAAGTCCGATGGCTTTTTGCTAAATACATAATGAACTTTTTTTGTTTGTGAAATTGTGTATACCTGAAACTGATCTATTCAAAAAATTGTGTTCATGATTTTTATTGACTGATTTACTCGAAATTTCGCGAAGTGAATTAGATATCGAACTTTTTTATCGTTCGTGGAATTTTGTTTACGATTTTTTTTTTGTCTAGGCAAACAAATGTCCTAATTAGACGAGGGAGCAGCTTCGCTCAGTGCGTTGGTAGGCTTTGCTCTAAATTAACATTCACTGTACTGTCTTTCCTGGAAGGTGCTCACATATCAACAGATCGGCAAAAAATAGATCATTCGTTGATCGCGGCATCTTGTTAGTAAACAGCGATATTAGTGATGTGATTACATCCGTATAGTAGCAAACTATTCTACTTTGTTCAACTTTAGAGAAAGACTTTGATCTCTGACTGATGCGTAAGCGTTGAGGAGAGTAGCGGCGTTTGGCTTACTTCGACGCATTTCTATACTTAATTTAATGGAAGACTTTGAGTATCGAAAAAGTGTTTCATATTTATCTATATTTCCTCAGGTAGATAAACAACAACTCAGTAATAATGAGCCTTGATCATGCAACTACATTACATTACGAATAACAATACTGATATATAAATTGAAAAAAATAAAGAAATCCACAACAACATATGGCCGGAACTTCTAGTATTTTATGAAAGTGATGATTTGGCAAATTTAGATTTGAATCTAATTTTGAAGAGTCCATAGAGTCGATAAGTCTAGTAAATCGGCCACAGTGAGTTATTGCGCTCATAGTTTCAAAAAATTTTGGTATTAATAAGATAATTGGATACCGCAAGTTTAAGATCTCTATTTATTAAAGCTTTCGTAAAAATCATAATTTTCAAAGCATCAAGAAAAAATATTTTTCTCACGACCTTGGAAAGCGATTGATCTACGTTCTGCATATATGCTACGTTGTAATGTTTAATAGCAACTAGAAAAAAGTTAAGAGCTGTATCGCTTCGAAAGATTCATCAAAAGTAGCCAGTTAACATTCAAGATTTCCGTAGTAAGAGTTTTTAAGCACTTTAGGATTCTGATAAAATTTTGAAACTATTTTTTTTTTCAAAAACTTCGGTCAATTTTCTATAGATTTATAAATATCTAAAGGGTTAAAAAACGGTACGCCATACTGAAAAAAGTAAGTAAGGTTTTTTTTTTTGAAAAACACATTTTGTTAAATTTTTTAGAAAACCAAAGAAGACCAAGTGTGGCAGCAAAAAAAAAATACTTAACCAAAGGTAAAAAGGCTTTTATGTCTGAATTATTGTATTAATTTCAATAAAAAATAAAAAAAATTAAGTTAAATTTTCTAATTGCGATCGCCCCTCGGCAGAGAGTGGCAACCCTTCCGTGTGTACTTCTGATATGACAATCAAAGCTCCTCATAAAAAATCCATCAGCCATTCGAAGGCGGCTTACTCTGAACTATAGGTCTCTCCATTTGTTGGAAAAAATATCAAGACGCAAAACCAAAAACTGAAGGAATGTCGAGTCCTCCGAGTCTACTTCTGACATGATTAAAAAAGTTCCTCATAAAAATCCATCGGCAGTTCGGAGGCGGCTTAAAATGAACTGTAGGAGCTCCCATTTGTTGGAAAAAATCATTAAAACGCACAACGCAAAACAATTACGAAGCGCAAATTATATCAATTAATTTATACAAAATTGTGCGCGTAGCTTATATTGATAATTTGGTTGTATTTTTTTTTGTTTACTATAATAATTAACCAATTTATAGACTTATGTGTAACTAAGTATGTCTGTGCAGCTAATTACCCACATCTGTTGTTCAACAATTTAGTTATTATGAAAATATTTGTATCAGTTACAAATTGCATTTTTCTCATGAATTCTTTTGGTATGATTTTTTGAATTTCAAAAAAAAAAAAAAAAAAATAAAGAAAAAAAAAATCGCACATATTTCTAATTCTCGCCTATTTGCTTTTGTGCATGTGTTGCTCTGATAAGATATTTTCCAATTGCTCTTGGCTTTGTTTAATTTAGCATTTGGTAATTGTTTTGGGAAATGTGAAGCGTGTTTATATCTCAACACTTTAGCACCTTGCCATCTAATGTGTGTAGTTTTGGGGCATTTGTTTCGCCTTTCAAAGTTTCTGTTTTGTGTTTTTATCTTTCATTAATTTTTCAAAAATTTTTAATTTCATTCGTAAATTCTTTTTTCTTTTTTTTTTGGTTTAATGACTAAATTTGGTGGAAGTTGGAAAAAAATTAAAAATTATTTAAAACAAAAAAGCAAAGCTGTCTTCCGCCATGCCAAAGTCTTTATACCTTTCATAACTGTATAAAATTTATGGCCTTTTATTTGAGAATTAAATAACAACGCTCTCATTAAGGTTATCTAACCACCCAAAAAATTATTACAGCAGAACTACCCTAAGCGATTAAAGAGAAACGATTTACAGTTGAGCGGTTACTAAGGGATCTACGGCATCCAATTATTCTAAATCGGAGTTGTGCTCCGCATATATCCTTCATGATATTATAATTTACTTCCAATTATCCTTTATGATATATCTTTTGTTAAATCTTAAACATGAGTGTTTGGTATTCCTTATGATATCTATATAAACACATTCTTTGATAACTCTCAGTTATATTCCTAATTTATTGTATTGGATAAGTGCTTAAGTTCGTGCCCGATTCCGCTGGATGACGTTCGAATCGTTTGAGAGTGCCGCTCGTGAAAGAAATATATACATATTATATATCGTTGAAAAGGTGACAGTCCGAACTGTAAATCAAGCATAAAATAACGTCATTTTGATGTGAGTTGCTTAGTGAAAAGACGCATGGAAGATGGACAACGAAAAAGATCATATGCGTCAGATTATGTTATACGAATTCCCCAAAGGAAAAACAGTGGGCGCTGCAACTAAAGATATTCGCGAAGTTTATTTGGACCGTGCTCCAGCACTCCGCACAGTAAAGAAATGGTTCGCGAAATCTCGTTCTGGAGATTCTAACCTCGAAGATCAACCTCCCAGTGGACGACCTTCTGAGCTTGATGACGATGTTCTAAGGACTTAAGTTGCGAATAACTCACGTATTTCAACGGAAGAGATTACCAATGAATTGAACGTCAACAAATCAACTGCGTTTCGTCGTTTAAAAAAGGTTGGGTACACTTTGAAGCTCGATACATGGGTGCCACATCAGTTGAGTGAAAAAACAAAGTACGGTCCACTTTGTCAACAGCAATTTCTTTGCTTCGACGGATCAAAAACGAACCTTTTTTGGATCTGCTCGTGACTGGTGATGAAAAAT